TTATTGTTAAAATGTTATTTCTGTCACATATTACAGTCAAAACTTTGGCTCTGAATCTCCTTGAACATGTCGGTCTGGTGCCTCTCATCACGCTGCTGCCCTACTGTAGGTGGGCGGAGCCTCCTGTCAGAGTGCTGGCAGCGCTGAGTGAAGACGAGGGTTTGAACGGCTGTTTCTTGATGATACCATGTTGCTTTTGTCAAAAATATTCTAGGTATTTTTGGAAACATTTTACTTTTTAAGACTATTAGTTTCAAGGATCTCACCGGTTTTGATCCCACATCAGCTTCGGTTAAGTGTTTAATCCCCATCAGCCGAAACCAGCCAGTGACTCTTTTTAAAATCTGTAAAGAGCCTGATAGTTGTGTAGTTTGTACACAGCTTTAGTTGTTGATGTGAAACATTTCTGTTTATCTGACAGCAGGCGGCCTGGGGAAGGCTGGAATACAGAACAAGTGCACCCCCCTAAAGGTTACAGTCTCACCAGGATTGTAGACACTTTTTGTCCTGATAAATCTGAATTTGGAGACAAAAAGATGAATAAATATATTTAACATAAGAAATCAGAGCCGTTGCTGATTTAAAAGTTTTTCTTTTGAGAGAAAACACACCACCACTTTGAAATGGACCTCAGACAGAAAAGACCATCACCTGCCAACATCATCAGCCTCGAGTCACTCCCCCACAGCATGTCTCAGACACCTCCTGTGTACTGGGACTACATGAAGGACAGGGTTTTCTTTCCAGGTTATTGAGTTCTGGTTGAGTCATGGGAGCATCTCAGTCAACTCCCAGATCTTCAAATATTTAACAGCGTCAGGGTCAAACACAGACTCTGAGTCAGAGATGTTCGTCTGACGATGGTTTTTACACGTGTGAGGTTGTTCGAGCTCCCAGACGGCAGAGCTTTCGGTGAGGAGCTGAACTCCCGTGTTGTTTGAGGACATGTGGATTTGCTTGCTGGGGTTTGTTCAGAGTTTACAGTAGCAGCAGTCAAACAGCGGGGGTGACCGTCTGCTTTATCCGTGACTGTAGTCAGTGTGTATGTTGAGCCACCGTAGATGAGAACGCCATGCTGCTGAAACACGTTGATTCTTCTCACCAAGAACAGAAACGATTCCAGGACGACCCTTCAGCTTAAACGCTACAGCCCGTTTCATTGTTCAGAGAAGGAAGCAGGGCGGGAGAGGTGTAGTGTTTAATTACTCTTTTGTCTACCAGTCCCGACTACTGAAGGACAGCAGGAAAAGGAAAAGTGGATTATTTATGAGGCTCATTGGGGAGCAGCACTTTCAAACAGGGTTTGGTTACTTCTTAAATAAGGACACTGAACGCTTCTCAACTAAAGAGTAGATGTTACTGACATACTGCACTGTGTAGCTGTTGCTCGAGCTAGCTAGGATGTTGAACATCACTTATGCCGTGTTGGGATCTGTAGCTTTTTACATCATGTGATCGATCATCAGTAGGCTTTAAACAGAAGCTTCTCGGCCTGATTCTGTAAAGCTTGGTTTATGCTTGACGCATTCACTTTCCGCGCGGTGATGCGGCTCGCGGCTGGAACGCGCTTCACAACTCGCAGTGTTTATGGTTCGTGCGGCTCGTCTCTGCGGTGAGCCAATATTCTCCCACACTGAACGGGGCAGCATGGAGCTCTACGGCATGCATCCAACACTACACCATAGTAGAAGTAGAAATCACTGTTTACAACATGGCATTCCAGCATTTTTTAACAGTGTTCTCGTCTTTTCCGACAGTGCGAGCTATTTCTCTCCAAGAATTATTAACAACATGTTGATCACGGTGATCTCTGAGAGCTGAATCATATAAATGTCTGTATTTACGAACCTCTGCCATACTAGTTCTTGCCGGCCCGCCATGTTTTTCCGCGTCCGACCGTCCGCGTGGTTAGAAATTTTCCGAGGTGCACGTTGCGGAAATCTTAGGCCGTGCGGAGACGCGGTGGAGGGGCGTGGTTGTTAGAATGACGCAACTTTTCCGCGCGGAGCCGTGTGGACCTCGCGGACGCGTCAAGCATAAACCAACCTTTAGTCAAACATGAGTAACGAAGAATCGTATATTTTACATTGACCAGTGACATCCTGCTGCTCTGAGCTCTCTGGCTTTTTCCTCCCACTCAAAAACAGAATTGCCTTTTGAATGGAACTGCCCCTGTGGTTTCCTCAGTACAAGAAAACATTGGGAATGATCCGAGCTGGGATACAGCAGGATCTGTAGCACTTCAGGGAAGTGGAAAAAGAAGAGACGTTAAAGCAAACTGTCAGTGAGTTTACAGTAAGCAATTCTTTTTAGACAAATTTGTGCCCGCCTCGTCTCCTCATTAATGTTTGATAGAAACATTTTCCTTTTTACCTGTTAAAAACGACGTTTTTTCAAGAAAGCATACTCTGGATGTTTTTGAATTTGCAGTTTTGTGTAAGGCAGCCATTATACACTAGATCATCTTTTTTGCACCTTCTGAACCTGGCTGAGGGCTTGTTACAGATCACCAAACCCCAGTACCTAACAGAATCACATGTAAAGACATTTAACAGGAGCAGAGACAGGCGACTATTCATCCTTACATGCTGCAAACTCACCTACAGTGGTGTGAAAAACTATTTGCCCCCTTCCTGATTTCTTATTCTTTTGCATGTTTGTCACACAAAATATTTCTGATCATCAAACACATTTAACCATTAGTCAAAGATAACACAAGTAAACACAAAATGCAGTTTTGAAATGATGGTTTTTATTATTTAGGGAGAGATCAAAATCCAAACCTACATTGCCCTGTGTGAAAAAGTAATTGCCCCCTGAACCTAATAACTGGTTGGGCCTCCCTTAGCAGCAATAACTGCAATCAAGCGTTTGCGATAACTTGCTACGAGTCTTTTACAGCGCTCTGGAGGAATTTTGGCCCACGCATCTTTGCAGAATTGTTGTAATTCAGCTTTATTTGAGGGTTTTCTAGCATGAACCACCTTTTTAAGGTCATGCCATAGCATCTCAATAGGGTTCAGGTCAGGACTTTGACTAGGCCTCACCAAAGTCTTCATTTTGTTGTTCTTCAGCCATTCAGAGGTGGATTTGCTGGCGTGTTTTGGGTCATTGTCCTGCTGCAGCACCCAAGATGGCTTCAGCTTTAGTTGACGAACAGATGGCCGGACATTCTCCTTCAGGATGTTTTGGTAGACAGTAGAATTCATGGTTCCATTTATCACAGCAAGCCTTCCAGTTCCTGAAGCAGCAAAACAACCCCAGACCATCACACTACCACCACCATATTTTACTGTTGGTATGATGTTCTTTGTCTGAAATGCTGTGTTACTTCTATGCCGGATGTAACGGGACATTTGCCTTCCAAAAACTTCCACTTTTGTCTCATCAGTCCACAAGGTGTTTTCCCAAAAGTCTTGGCAATCATTGAGATGTCTCTTAGCACAATTGAGACGAGCCCTAATGTTCTTTTTCCTTAACAGTGGTTTGCGTCTTGGAAATCTGCCATGCAGGCCATTTTTGTCCAGTCTCTTTCTTATGGTGGAGTCGTGAACTTTGACCTTAATGGAGGCAAGTGAGGCCTGCTGTTCTTTAGAAGTTGTCCTGGGGTCTCGTGACCTCTCGGGTGAGTTGTCTCTGCGCTCTTGGGGTAATTTTGGTCGGCCGCCCACTCCTGGGAAGGTTCACCACTGTTCCATGTTGTTGCCATTTGTGGATCATGGCTCTCACTGTGGTTCGCTGGAGTCCCAAAGCTTTAGAAATGGCTTTATAACCTTTACCAGACTGATAGATCTCAGTTACTTTTGTTCTCATTTGTTCTTGAATTTCTTTGGATCTTAGCATGATGTCTAGCTTTTGAGGTGCTTTTGGTCTACTTCTCTGTGTCAGGCAGCTCATATTTAAGTTATTTCTTGATTGAAACAGGTGTGGCAGTAATCAGGCTTGGGGGTGGCTACAGAAATTGAACTCAGGTGTGAAACACCACAGTTGGGTTATTTTTTAACAAGGGGGGCAATTACTTTTCCACACAGGGCAATGTAGGTTTGGATTTTGTTCTCTCCCTAAATAATAAAAACCATCATTTCAAAAGTGCATTTTGTGTTTACTTGTGTTATCTTTGACTAATGGTTAAATGTGTTTGATGATCAGAAACATTTTGTGTGACAAACATGAAAAAGAATAAGAAATCAGGAAGGGGGCAGATAGTTGTTCACACCACTATAAATTATACCTTATCTTCTGTTACCATAAAAAGGACAACACTTTCTTCAAATCCATATGAAACATGTTTTGAATAAGGACCGTCTTACCTGTTGTAGATAATGTACCTGAGTAGCAGCCATTGGAGACTATCCTACATGACATACGCTCTGAGCCACATGTGCTCTTCAACAGCTGGCTCTGTTCTCTGTTTAAAATGACAACAGGAAACAACTTTAAGCAGAAATGAGCTAAAAGGTTTGAGGCATTACTAAAAACAGTTTACAATGCAGTTGTATTGCTGAACTTATTACATTTTTATGTAAAAAATGTTATTTGTTTATTTTTTTGTTTTTGTTAAACTTTATAGAATCAGCGGCAACGGCGGGCGGGAGGGGAGGGGGCTTTTGGGAGAGTTGTGCAACACAACAAATTGATGACGCAATTCGTTGCCAACGCTTTTAGTAATCGATTTTCATCGAATTTATCGATTCTTTGTTGCAGCCCTAGCTAAGAGTCTAAGTAAAAAATAAAAAAAAAAGTAAAATAGTTGTTGAGTAATATGTGTGAGAGTTTTTTTTCTGTCTTTATTTTAAACTTGTTTGTGTTGCACTGTACCTGAGTGGTGTTTTCCTATCGTGCGGTTTTCTCTCAGCAGCTTTGGTTGGTGCTTGTGTTGTGGTTGACATATTTCTGTTACTGGGCAGCATGAGTCTTCCCTGTCTGACAGCTGACTTTCACACTGCCTCTCAGGTGGTCTCAGGGCATCACCTAACTGAGCCTCCCCTCTCCTCCTTTAGGCTAGCCACACCGGCATGCGCTCGTACATTTACAAGCAGAGCTCTGTGATTGGCTCGCAGGCGGAGCACTATGGGATGCGGACATATTACTTCAGCGCAGACACCCAGGAGGACATGAACACCTGGCTGAAGGCCATGAACCAGGCTGCACGGATGCAGAGCCATGCTGACACACTCATAAGGTACACATGCATGCACACAGGTTAGTCTCTCTTATATTATTTCTAGTTTTCGTGTGTTTTAGTTGGCCTATAGATGCATAAGAAATGGTCGAGACCAGGGTCGGATTAAGGACTGAAGAAGATCCAGGGCATAACACACACACACGCGCGCGCACACACACACACACGCGCGCACACACACGTGACACACACTAGTCAACATATATATATTTGTCTTGTACCACATAATGTTTAACCTGAAGCTACATATTAAGCATATTCAGGGCAGAGTATTATTCCTGTTAGTGTTTAGTGTGAGATGATAGTAAATATTCCCTTTCTTTCTCCAGCAACTTTACCTGATAAGCTAACTTTAGGCAAACCAGCAGCACAACAAATATTTTCAAATAAGACTCACAAACCTGAGTCAACACCAGTCTCATCAAAGCTGGGGTTCTGTCGTTGTACTTTTGGTCTAAAAAACGTCCTCATGTCCATCTTCACTCATGCGTTTCAGGCAGAGAGTGTAGAAGAAGCCGGCTGCTGAAGGGCTTCTTCTTCAGTGGTGAAGGCTCAGGCAGGCTGTATACAAACTACTGCCAGCTGCTCCCTCTCTGTTGGACTTTGGTACTGCATGTTACTTCCGCGATTTAGATCCGCGGCTTTTCATAAAACATCCGGGGCTTCAGCCCAAGTAGCCGGGCGTAACGCCGCCCCTGGTCGAGACTAAACGTTTCAACCAAGAACATTAGAAATCTTTATTCACATACCAAATTAATTATACAATGATATGCTTTACATTCTTACTTCTACTCTATCTTCTACTTAAAGTGTTTGTCTTCCATTCATTTCTTTTCATAAATATATGCTGATTTGATCTGTTACTGTAATCTAATTAATTTCTGTCTTCTTTTATCATAACGTCATTTCCGTTACTGATGAGAAAATGTGTGCGTTACTAATTCAGCAGCGCGGTGTGTTGAAGCCGTTATCAGCTGATCGGGAGCTAAAGAGGCGGATGTTTTCATCCAAGCGCTACACGACCCGGGAAGAACAAGGAAGACGTGATGAATAGTCTACAGCTGCAGACTCGAAGGTTCGCTGCTGCAGGTGTGAATCTGCAGCAGCGAACCTTCTTAGCGTGACAGTGAGACGTGTCCCAAAGGTCCGCTCACCTGTTCACCATTCAGACGTAACGATCTTCTACCTTCCTAGATCATCCAGCTGTAACCTGTTTCTGATCATGTCTTTAGTCCCGCTGTAACACTGATGCATCAGTCTCAGACGTCATGGAGCTCAGGTGTTATTAGAACTACCTGTGTGTGTTTACCATCCAGCTTCAGCTCTTCTGTGGTTGGGTCTGACCCAAGTTAGTAAATGTAAGTCCATCAGATTTATGCCTCTTCTGTCATTTTAAAGGATTTTTATTTATTTAACCATTACTAGATTACCAGCAACAGAAATGCTGCTAAAACACACAATTATGTGAAGCTGGAAAAATTAGATTACTGTGTGAAATGACTTGTTTTTGATTTTTAAACAATTTTATAGATGAAAATTTTCTTTAATCAAAAGATAGAAACACTTCACACTCCTGAATGTGGAGCACAACCAGAAACGTTGGGTGTTTAGTAGTGTGGTGGATTCCCTCTGTTTGATTTTGCCGTCTAAATCATTTAGTGTACTCGATGCATGCAGCCTACTGCTTTGAACAAACTCATATGGTGTTGAGCTGAAAGCACCACTCTCTATTTCGTCATTGGTGTGTTGACAGTGGGTGGTTGCACAGTTCAAAAAACATCCCATAATACACTGGCAGCCAGACACCCCCCCACGTGCTCTGCTTCTTTTCCATTTCAGTGTTTTTGCAGAGAGAAATCCCTCTAGATGACACGAGCTGTTGGAGAATGACAGACAGGGAACCAAGCTGCAGACAGCTTCCTGTTGGGAATTTCTACATTCTCACTTAAATTTGTGCATTTGTCAAATCAACAGCAGTGTTTACTGTCACAGTGAACTTCTTTTTTCACAGTTTTTTTTTTGAAGAATATTGGTTCCAAGAATGCTTCCCTCTTAAACACAACTTTAAGAGCAATCAGCCTCTACAGTTCTAATTTATATTGAATATTTTCCAACATCGGCGGCTGGCGAGGAGAGTTTTGGCACCTAGGTGTTCCCATTCTGTGTGCGCTTGAATTAGTGTCAGAAACCTGAGTATTTCCCAACGCTGAGTGCTTCATTCACGGGGGACTCCAGTAATGTAAAATTGTAATGACCAGACTGGAGAGACCCGTGAAGACACAGTAAGGAAGGGTTGTAGCAGAGGCTTGGTCAGGAGGGCAGCGGGGGTCAGAGCCGGGGAGATCAGAGTAGTTCCAAAAAGGGGCATTCAAGAGGTAGAGTCCAGGATCCAGGTCCGAGGTCAGAAATCCAGGTAATCAGATGCACGAGATAATCCAGGCAGGGTGTAGGCAAAGGGTTAATCCAAAGATCCAGAATGGGGTCGAGATGCAAGAGCAGAGGGTCAAGAGTGCTGGAGAATCCACTGGCAAATGCTTTCAATAATCTGGCGCTGACTTGGTGTTGGTCTTGGTGTTTTATAGGGAGCGTTGCAAGTGGAGCTGGTGAGGAGTTAATGTGAGACAGGGGGTTTGGATGAGGTTGATGGTGAGCTGGTTGTGTTTGCTGGGGAAACGGGGCTTGGCTGGAGCAGGGGCATGACAAAAATCAAGGCTTTGCTTATCTTCTGCTTGGCTTTAAAAAAATCTATGGAGTGTGTTTAGACCTGTCTTTAAACTTGGATAGCTGAGACTAGAAGTTTCATGTTCATGTAGCAGCCATCAGGTTAGGGTTGTGTTCAGAACAATGGTGCAACACAAAGTCCAAGTGATCAGAGAAGGGCACAAAGAACCACAATCAGAGTGGCTGTAAATAATCTTCACATTTTTTATTTTTTCCCTCTTTGCAGACCTGCTGACAGAATAGAGAAGTTGTTGCAACAGGCTGTTCCACAGGTAAACCACGTAAACCACCACAATAGCAAGATCCCCAACTCTGAGGCTACAAGACCAACCGTCCACGAGGTTCTGCTGGAGCCCATTCACCGTGAGCCTGAGGAGCTCTGCAGCTTTCACAAAGACTCTCCTGGTACCATCACATTGGAGCAGCCCATAGGAAGCATGGTTCTGGAAATGGACACTCACTCCTCCCTTCCATCCAACCCTCCAGCCACCACCCTCGCACAGCCAGACCATGTGTCGGCCTCTGCTCCTGTGTCCAGGGTGCCATCCCGGGCTCCATCAAGAGCCACCTCCACTTTACCTTCCAGTGTTTGCACCAGGAATGGCCTGATGTCCACACCCAGCCCCATCCTGGAGCCCAACGGCATTGCAGCAGGGACCTACCAAAGAGCACCAGAGCCCCCAGCTGTGGACACACACAAGCAAGTGCAAAGGAGAAGTGCTCTGGAGCAGGTGGAACAGTGGGTCAAAGTTCAGAAAGCTGAGCAAAGAGGGTAGGTCACTGTCGCACATACACTTAGGATCTATTTAGGATATGAAATCTGATCAGAATTCTTTGTTTTAATCAATTCCTTTAATTCTCTACGTATCCCTATGTTCCTGAGTGTGGTTGCGGCGAGCTGGCTTCTATCAACATCAATTACTGAGGGGCTTGGACTCTGTCACCGATTCTATTCATAACTTTTATGGACAGGATTTCTAGGTGCAGCCAAGGGGATCTGTTTTGGTGGCCTAAGGACTCAGTCTACTTTTTGCAGATGATGTGGTCCTGTTGGCTTCATCAGAACGTGATCTCCGGCTTTCTCTGGAGCGGGTCACAGCCAAGTGTGAAGCAGCTGGGATGAGAATCAGCTCCTCTAAATCCAAGACCATGGTCTTGAGTCAGAAAAGGGTAGAATGCCTTCTCCAGGTCAGGGATGAGGTCCAGCCCCAAGTGTAGGATCTCTGGGTCTTGTTCACGAGTGAGGGAAAGATGGTGCACGAGATCGACAGGCGAACTGGTGCTGCGTCTGCAGTGATGCGGGCGTTGTATCGGTCTTTGGGTAGTGACGTAAAGAATGACATTGCAGATACAAGCAGATGCAACACTTAACCCACCTTGTCTGCTGGTAGTGGTCAGAGGGGCCGGTGGCTCCAGTGTACGGCAGGCCTTGCCTCTGTCAGTGTGCCCCAGGGCAGCTGTGGCTACAGTGTAGCTCATCCCCGCTAGTGTGTGAATGTGTGTGTGACTGTGTTGTGAAGTGCCTTGGGGGGTTGTAGAACCCTAAGAAGGGGCTATACAAATACAGGCCATTTACCATAATGGGATGTGGAATCTATAGTCCCATATCTAGTTCTGTTTTGATTTATTTATTCATTTAGCTATTTTAGAAGAAGTTTTTGTTTTAGGTAAATGTCCGGGTATGCTCTATGTTCATTGTACAACGTTGAAAATTCTAAAATAATAAGTTAAAAAAATACTCTTTTCTGCAAATGAGTCTAAAGCTGAAATTTAGTAGCCTGGCAAGCCAGACTAAATAAATGTATTATTTAGTCTGGCCACGCTCCATTGACAGCTCTTGGTTGTGGGGCGGGTTCTACCGTTGTCTTTCAAATGATCTCCACATTCCACTGGACAATGAATGTGACATACTCTTTTTTCACTCTGTTGCATCATCCCACCCACCAGGCATATAGAGTGCCCTGATTGGCCCACAAAGCAGATAAAGCTCTGTGATTTGTTCACTAAGCAGATAGAGCACTATGATTGGCCCACCATTATGGATCAATCACAGCTCTTTATGTGTTTGAAACCCCTCTAGAGGGCTGTGATTGGCTAGCCAGAGTCCTGGTAGGAGCTGCGGAGGTTCCAATGGAGCGTGCCTAGACCATTCTTTGCAAAGCAAGAATTTGGTCTAGTTCACTAGGCTAGAAATTTAGAGTTAAAGGTTGAATATGGAACAATCTAATAAAAAGCTGTATTTTGTACAGTATGAAAGTATAGTATTCCTTTAAAAGCTTAATTTAAATTAAAAAAAAATTCATTTTTACGGGCACGACTCTGGGTTTATGTTTAGATCTACCAGCCTGTAGAGGGCACCATTGCAGGTTTCCAAATAGCGCTTGGCACAGCGAGGCTAGCACTGTGGAAAATGGCAGACTCGGCAAGTCAAGCAGCTGCTTCTGAGCCCAGAAGATGTCGTTGTCCTTCTCAGAAGAGGAGCAACCATAAAAGATCTAAAACCTGAGTGAGTTTAGGTGAAGCCTACAACAGATGAACCCAAATAAAACGTTTCACGTATCGGCAGCGATCCTGGTATCCTGATGGCTGGAAACCTTGTTCTATTGTTGCAACTACAACCTCCACACACTAGATGTCGCTGTGGTGTTTGTGCTCCATATTCAACCTTTAATCATGTAAGTTATTCAATTCTTAGTTTTTGTTTTTTCAAACCAGACTATAGAAGTTATGTTGAACCCCCACCACCGTCTTCATTTCTTCATAGAGTTTATAACGTAACTGTTTTTTCTTGAACCAGTGGTTTGTATTGCTAGCTATGTCTCAGTGGCTGCTGGATGTTGATTAGTCTCTAAACAACACTTCTGATGTAGTGTTTTCTGTCTCAGACCTTTCATCTCTTCTAAGAAAACATATTTCTCTTTGCTTTAATAATCAATGACTCTCCCTGTCGTTGTCTGTTTTAGGATCAGACTGGTGAACTTGTGAGTCAGTTCAGTAGTTTCTATAATAATGTTCAGGCTTTGTCATACTGATGTTGTTCATTTGATGAAATGGCGATGCTGTAAAGATGTGTAACAATAACTCATCTAGTTCAGAGCTGTTTTAACACATTTGCAACTGCAGTTGTAGCAGTGGAACAGCTGTATACAGATGTTTTCCTTCTGCTTAATATGTGCATGGTAGATACCGTAAATCCTCTAATACAGGCCCGGGCCTGTATTTGACTCAAGCTCATCAAGCTCCAGGCCTTTATTGGAAGGAGGGCCAGAATTAGAGGCAGGCCTCTATTTCTATTTGAGCAAAATGAACTAATGGTTCGCTGGAGTTTTTGACAATTAAAATTGCGCCCACATTTTCAAAGTTAAACACATTTCTTTTAACAACGGTAGTTTCTGCTTCAGCCCTCTCCCCCCTCCCCCTGCCGCAAACTCACTGATGTGCCTGCAGCCTCTCGGAGTTCCTGCTGCTCTAAACATTAAAATAATTATTTCATTTTCTGTTCCTCACTTCTGATTACCTTCAATGGTGTCTGTTTGTTGCAACCACCAGGTACAAAAACAAACTTGTTTTTATTTGACTATTTTTCTGTCCTGTCTGTTTATTATCTTCCTGCATCTCCTCTCAATCCTAAAGAAAAACTGCTACCTGGGTTCATATATATTTCACCTCATGAGTTACCTTTGAGCTGCAGTTCTAAAAGATCTACCGACCGCAAAAACAGCGGAGTGCTCGCTGCTTGCCGGCCGCATCAGTGATCGGTGCGTCACCGGAGGACAAGGTGATGCGCCCCGCTCCACAGCAGCGAAACACTTCAGGCGCAAATAAAAGACAGAAAACATTAAAGGAAATGAACCGACATGAACAATTGTGTGTCAGTACCGACGCTACAGCGCGTTGCCCCCCCCCCCACCCAGGGGGAGCGCAGGAGCTTGTCACCTGCTGACAGCAGGCTGCTGTCTTTTCCGAGGGCTGCATCTTGCCGGTCATTATCACGTGACAGCGACTAGTCGATGACAGGCATAAAAAGTCACTATAGTGAAGTCGACTAGTTCATACAACCCCTACTGCTCCCCAGTGTTCTGCAGCGCACGTTCTCTTTGAACTTGATATCAAATGTTCGCCTCCTCTTCATCTCCGCATGGTTAAAGTTACCCTCGCGGTCTATCACTGGCAAATCAAAAGTGAGACGATGACACAACCGCCCCCCGTACTTGCTTGTTACCACATTCCACCCGGCCACAATAAAATACCGGCCATTATTCACCTCCGCTGACTCCAGCACCGGCCAAAATATGAGACCCGGCCGTTAATTGAATACAGGCCTGTATTAGAGGATTTACGGTAACTTGTTTCTGAATGTTTGTTTCTGGCAGCCCACCTTCCAGGGAGAACACGCTTCCTCGTCGTACGCCACCAACCCAGCACAAGTACACAACCATAGACAACTATCAGACCCTGCCAAAAACTCCACGCCACAGTCCCCCTCCAGGGAGACTTGGTGAATACAAATATGCCCACGACCAGCTGAGTCACTTCCGTCTCACCCCAGACATGGGGGGTCCAGGGTCCAACACTGTTTGGCAGCTGTACGAATGGCAGCAGCGCCAGAAGTTCCGTCATGGGAGTCCCACAGCACCCATTTACACCCCAGCTCCCGAGTACCCGTTTGGTCCCCACGCCCCGTCTAGAGTACCACCCTCCTCCTCAGCTTCCAGGTCAGAGGGGCCTCCTCGCTGTGTGTCAGTGCCACCTTCAGCTGCAGATATCCCTCCACCGGGTCCTCCACCTGGCTCCAGCAGAACTCTGTCACCCACACGGAGACCGCACACGCCTGCAGAACGGTTGACTGTAAAGCCCATTGGAAGAATGTCAGTACTGGACATCCCATTCATTGTGTCCCCCCGTAGGACTAAGTCTCAGATGTTGAAGGTAAAAATATAAATAACTCTGCTACTGCTTTTACCAGGCGTCATATGACACAAGACCAATATTTTTCTTGATTATTTGAAATTTAACGCATTCACTCTGTGGAATCAGGGAAGATGGAATAACTTGGTCATTCAGCATATTCAGGTAGTCAGCTGACCTCATTCTTGGAGCACATCCTGTTGTTGAACCTAGACCTGACCAATTGCTGCAACCCCAGATCATAACACTTCCCCCACAGGCTTGTACAGTAGGCACTAGGCATGATGGGTGCATCACTTCATCTGCCTCTCCTCTTACCCTGATGCACCATCACTCTGGAACAGGGTCCATCTGGACTCATCAGACCACATGACTTTCTTCCATCGCTTCAAAGTCCAATCTTTATGGTCCCTGGCACATTAAAACCTTTTTTCCAGTTTGCCTCATTATTTAGTGGTTTTCTTCCGCTGCACAGCTGTTCAGCCCCAATCCATTGAGTTCCCTATGCATTGTGCACATATAAACATAGCCCTGAGTTCTACTTTCTTTTATTTGATTTGATTTGATTTCACCAAACATTTAAATGATTGCAAATTACGATCATTCAGGATTTGTTTCCTCATCTGCATTTCTTCTTCAAAGATCCTTCCAGTTTTTAATAATGCGTTGAACAGTTCCCAACCCAGTTTAAGTCACTTCTACAATCTCCTTAGATGTTTTCTCCGTTTGATGCCAATGAGCTGACCCTTCTCTAACAGACTAACATCTTTTCCACGACCACCAGATGTGTCTTTCCACGTGGTTGTTTAAGAAATGAGAAGCAGCTGATTGCACCAGTTAAAACACTTGTTACCAGCTGAAAGATAATCGCCCATGCAGTACTTATCCAATAGGAGGCTGGTACCTATTTGGGTAGTTTAATCCGGGTGGTGACTTTTTGGGGGCTAGGCTGTGCATATTATAAAGCAGCCTCAAAGTTACCCTTGTATCACAGTTCCACTGTCATTAATCACCGTATAGGTACACAGTCAGGACCAGCATTGGTGCAGCTGTGTCTCAGTTGGTTTTCATCTTGCAAGAAAAGCTCCAACTCTAACATGAGTCTATAAAGCACACATGATCATAACCTGCAGTTTCAAAGGAGACAAAAATGTCACCAGTAATTATTAGAGCCATCAAAAGTTTCCCACGGTCACCTAACACCAGCTGTCGGTCACTGTGGCGGTGCAGGGTGGGTGTTTAAACTGTTAACATGTAGATTTATCTTTAAGGCATTCAGAAAACACAATCATACATCTCATTATGATGTGTTAGCTGATGTATAATCTACATTTAGAGTTTGTATAAACATTCAGACATTCAATAAAAAGATTCAAATGACCAGATGTCCATTTTTTAGTACATACACTAGTTGTTTTTGTTCTTTTTTCCTAATGTTTAAAAGCATTATGCTAATTTATTCCCATACTCCCCCACACTCACTCCTACACTTCCCTCACATCACAACCAGTCGTATCTTTAGACTGAATAAAAGTACATAATAAATGAATTGTTCTGATTATTTTTATATAAATGTATTTATTTATTTGACAGGCTGCTACCACTGAGAGACGCTCGATGCCTCCATCTGGCTACATCACACACACAGTCAGTGCGCCCAGCCTTCATGGAAAAACGGTACGTTTACTAGACCAAAGACAAAAATGTAAATACAGCAGAAACATTTATAAAGAGCTGAAGAAACGTCTTTGGTCCTCTCACAGATTTGTTTTCCTGATTTCCCTTTTTTGCCCCTTAAATGTTTCATATCAGCAAACAAATGTTTATAGCAGACAAAGATAGTCTGAGTAAAATATAAATACAGTTTTTAAACGATGATTTAACTTATAGAGTGAATAAATCTCTCCAAATAAATCTGATCATGAAATAATTAACCCCTTATTTTCTAATGAACTATGACCCGATTACTGCCAGACGTGTAGAATTAGATAACCTTTCTGACAACCCAACGTAAGCTAGGACTCTGGGGCATGTTTGCCATTTTGTGTTAATTTAATGTCTTTGTCTGACGTGAACTTTTTAAGGTACAGAGCAGCTAAGAAACAATTTGTTTAAACCAGATTTAAGAGGTTGTTGTTTTCCATTTGTTATTCTGCCAGAACAGCTAGGCTTTAATCACGATTCTCTCTGATGAGATGGTTGTTGGTTTATTCACCGTTTGTGTTTGGGGAAAGTCTGGTGTCAGCTTGGATTATTAGTTAAGCTGCAGTTGTGTTTGTCCAGATTAGCTGTCAGTGTTGTTGTGTCATGGTGTAAATGCTAAGTTGTTTAATAGTAAAAAGGTTCTTTTTAAGTGAGTGTTTAGATCTGCCAGACTGAACATCCTGTGGTGTCTGTGACAGCCCGAGGAGCTCACTCTGCTCCTCATCCAGCTGCGCCGTCATCAGGCCAAGATGGCCTCAGCACGCCGTCAAACGTTAGCCCAACTCAAGAGGCTCTGTGGTCCCAAAGATTCCTACCGCCAAAACTGCCTCCTCACTGCCACCACTAGTCCAAGCGCCACCCCTTCTCCTGAGCCCCTTCTCGAGCATGTGGGCCTCTCACCTTCTCCTGGCCCATGCAGTACTCAGGTGGGGGCTCCAGTGGGACGTCTGCCTCAGGAGCTGGTACAGGCTGCCACCAAATAATGTAAAGGGCTTAATAACAGCAAAAATGAATTTAATGTTATTTTAAACCCTACATAAATCAACAATTTAAACAATACTCATGTTGGTATTTGTTGATAATTGAGTAAAAGCCATAACAAATGTAGTTTATTGTGTCCATAACATTTTTATAACAAATATGACAAATATTTATCCTACCAAGTACTAAATGTAGATTCAAGGCCCAACCATTTCCTGAAGGGTTACAGATCATCCATTTAAGCTAGGCCAGTTTATGCAGATGAATGATGTTTGAAGTCATTTTGGTCAAATGACAGAAAACATTCACATTTAACATGATCTCACATCACAAGGTACCCCTTATATCATGATGTTAATGACTCTCAGCTACCACCACAGGTCGTTTCAGCTCAATCTGAGTTCAACTGACTGAGTTTTCAGCATTTTTAGTGATTGTCAATGATATATGGCCACCATCTTGAACTGGATTGCCTCCTAAAGTTAAGTAGGTAATAATGTTCCTGAGTGATTAGTTTGACCCTAACCAGTGGCTCAGTAAATATTTTTACGAGACAGACGAGGTAGACCACTGATGCTCATGATTTAGTTAAAGATCATCTCACCATGTAGAGCTCAAAGTAAACGTTGGGAATAACCTTAATACAATCAAACCAAATGTATGTATAACTGACTGACCTGTGGTCTTTTATGCATTTACAAATGTCAATGTCCAAAGCAGAATCTAAACTATGAAATAAATCTTAAGGTTGACGTGCATTTATTGTTCAATGCTCTGTCATAACTTGGAGAACTTCCTCCTGTCCGATCCAGTTTTAGCGTTAGAGACGGTGGTGATGGCCTCTACCAGGATGCTCCTTTGTTTTGGTGTCAGTGCGCGTTGGCCTGGCTGTCCAGAACCATCCGCCTCTTTCCCATCTGCTCCCCCTGGCTGATCCGTTTCCGTATTCTACTGATCCTGCCCGCGGCATGTTGTGTTTCATCTCATGCTTTAGCTAACCAGCAGGCCGTAGATGTGTTGGCCAGTTTGGTCCTCTGGTACGTGTCTGTGTGTTCAGGATCTGGGCCTGGTTTGTGCTGGTCTGTTGCAGTAGATGTGTTTAACAGGATAAAACAAGTGGATGGTTTTGTGTGAGTTTTGTCTTGATGCATGTCCAGATCGTACATGTAATCTCAGCTGTCGCCACATTTGAGCAGACAAGCTGTGGCTGATGCTTCTCTAGATGAATTTAGTTGACACATAGTGGTAATCTACTGTCTTGTTGTTCCCACCTTCTAGGCAGATGACACCTACCAACATCTGAAGAAGGACTTGGAGTATCTGGATCTAAAGGTGAGGGCAAATGTTTATTTGGTGTTTCCTCTTGTTTGAGTCCAACTCTGAACAGTCAAACCAAAACTGCTCCAAAAGAAGAGATGTTCAGGTTTTTGTGCGAGGCCGTGCATTCTCAAAGTACTTACAAGTGATCTTCTAACCCTCCACTGCTTTTAGACGTTTCTAACCAGAGCAGTTGCCCTAATGTAACTGCGGCTCTTTGTCTCTTGTGATTTTGACTCCCAGATCAGAGCTCTAGAGCCGCTGATCCTCGCAGTTCACAGTTTACTACTGCACTGCACTGCTGGGCCTCTCAGGCCTATAATGAACGTAAGCTCTATGTGTGAGTGAGTGTGTGAGTGTGTGTGTGTGCGTGCGTGCGTGTGTGTGTGTGTGCGAGCGTGCGTGCGTGCGTTTACTTGTGCTTCTCTGCCTGTGCATGTCCGTACAATGAGGAGACCCGTGGTGTCTGTGAGAGCGTGAGTTTGTGTGTTCTAGAAGGACCATCCCATCGCTGCACAGCACTGCATTCACAGCTTGACCAGCATCAAATCCCTCATCTCCATGTGACCTTTGACCTACCTCACCTCCCACCTCCCTCTTTAAATGCTGTGCTGTATTACTGGTCATGGGATGGCTCGGCAGTGCATGTGTTGTGGCTGTGGGCTGGTGGTTGAAAAGCCAGCTGCTTCTACCATCATCTCTGAAACACTGCACCTCCTTAAAGCTCATCAGCAAGGAGCTTTAATCGGTCGACCTGGTTTTGTTTCGTCTGGTTAAACTCAGAGGAACCCCAGTATTATGGTGTGTTCCTTTACAAAGATTTTACTCCTCAACAATCAGCACAACTGTTACTTCAGTTTTTTTAAGCGGAGCAAACATAGAAGGTGAGTATTTTTGTGCCGGGCTTCAAAGTCTGCATCGCCACTGTTTTGTTTATGGCAAGAACTGATTTCTTGTATGCCACAAGTCACTCATATTGTCACGTTCTCAAATGCAGAACGTTCCAAGTAGTCTGCCTCTGCTTTGTAATAGTTTACAGCTGCCCTCCGTGTTCTGCCCCTTCTTTGTTTCAGCGCCAATGTAATCTGGAATCACACACATCTCTAACACCCGGACCCATTTATGTTGCACCTTTAGGTAGCTGGAGGTCAGACTCTGAAGGAGTCAGGGAAACCTGTCAAAGCGGCAGAAAGTGATGTGGATGTAAGTATGAAATGACCATTTTAAAGTTCTCTCTGGTGAAATAACCCAAACTCATAATTCCACTGTCCTGCAGCATGTTTAAATGGATGTTTCTGATGCTTAGAAAATGTTTGATTTTGTGCTGCTCTAGAACAACAGCTGGAGTGAACAAGGCCTGTTCAATCAATCAATCAATCAATCAATCAAACTTTATTCGTAGAGCACTTTTCTTATACAAAAAATGCAGTTTACAGTACTTTACGGGTTAAAATTACCCCATATAACCCATAATCCCATCATTTCCCCATCTCACAACCCATTTCCTAAGGAACACACATACACACGAACAACAAATACACACACGCACACACACAAAACTTAAAAAACAAACATCATAAGTAAACACTAGGCCGAGTTCAGATGGGTTAGGAAACGAATGACACGCCATCAGGTGGGCCATCTGCCTCAGCAGTAGTCGATCGACGGCAGCAGCAAAGGCACCAACCCAGGGCTCCCAGGGAGGTAGGGCAGCCCAAACTGGTTTGTTCTAATTGTGGCACTAAAAGCAGAAATGCGGCGTTTTTGCTTAGAGGATGCTTCCTAGAGGTGGAAACATGTATTGCACCATTAAACCTGTCTCCCTACTTCCGTGTTTTTGACTGGAAGCAATGCCCCCCATTTGTGAAATTGTACCTCTTGCGTGCGTCACCACCTAAGCAGGCTTCACTTTATTATTTACGTAATCTTGTTCTGCACACTCAGCTTCAAAGTCTTTAAAAAAACTCACGTCTCTCTTCTGTTGAAATGTTTTATATTGACGTCTAAATTGAGGGAAAAGTTGTTTTCCCAAATCATACCAACTGTTCTGATACAATTTTGCTTTAAATATTGTTTTTAGTGTTAAATGGGTGACTGCAGTAAGCCTGCAGCAGACCTCTTCTCTTTAGCTCACTGTAACATGTCTCTTCTCATTCTGTGTGAAGTGTGAAAAACCCAGATGTGTTAGAGCAGATCCACAAACAAAAAATATCTACGTCATAGCCCCTCCTGTAGGAACAAGCTCTTCAGGTTGTTTTGACTGCTCCTTAATGTGTTTGGAGTGACCCGGTTCTGTCTCACTTCCACTGGTTGAGCTGTCAGCTCTGTGCCTGTGTCACAAGGGGTCAACACCTCCTGCCAAAAGTGAAGCCAATTCAAAAGTGACAAAAGTTGCCGTTCCCTCCTCATCCGCTAGGAGCTGTTCCAGAAAGAAGCAAGTTCCCATTGACTCCTATGTTAAAAACGTCAACTTCACAGCAGAAATAAGCATGTTTATAGTCTGGAACAGAAACCATTTTGAAAGTATGGCGGAGGATGTTTCTGAATTTCAGGAAAGAAGTGTGCATGAGAGAGAATGTCCAGTTATCCTCGTGCACTTTCTGTTTATAAGTAGCTGCCGGCCTTCCTACTAACTTCTTCCAGCAGTAATCTGAAATGAATTTCTCCAAATAGCATGCAGAACTTTAGCTTGCCAGCCTTGCGTGAAAACTTCACCAGAATGACAGTTATGTGGACCAATGGTTCAGATGATCCGCTCGGATCGGCAGCAATGACGCTTGCATGTCCTCTCCTGTTAACACTGCAGGTCAGCTAACACTGCCTGTTAGCGCCATTAGCTTTTTATACACACCTCCACAGTAGCAGACTCCAGAGACTAAAGTCTGACCCGTGGTGAGACTTTTCCCATTTTGCAAAAGCTACAGCAACACTACACCGTACAAGAAGATGACTCCGCCTTCACAAGAAGCATAAAAGAGAAAATTTAAAAAGGTCTTTCTAATCAATACCAGGTACAATTGATTATTTTATCATTAATAAACTGACAGTTATAATGAAGGAGATCAAGCAATTATTGTTTTTCCACCTATTGAACTATTCGGGAGTTGACAAGGGAACTGATAAGGATTTGGACTGATAGATAGAATCAACAGTGGCATTGATACTGATAAAACCTTTTCAGTTCCCACTTCCAATTTAGACGTAATTAAAACTTGAAGTTATGAATAATTAGGGACGTGTCCTTTTGATTAACCTGTAGCATATGAGCGGTCTGTGCTAGCGCTAGCGACTTGTCCCCCTGCTTGCTTCAAGATTCAAGATAATTTACTGTCAACGCACAGGTGTACAACAAAACTGACTCTGTGCTCACTAAACACAGCTCTCGTAAGGAGGTAGTAAAGTATAAGTAAAATTAAATAACAAGGCTAAAGTAGAAGTCTTGCACACACACACACACACACACACACACACACACACACCTTTTCTACACACAGCCAGTTTAAGGGACAAAAAAGGTAAAAGTCTAAATGTAAACATGGTAGTAAGACAAGTCTGAACTATTAACTGAAATATAAAGTGAACATAATGTAGATGTAAACAGTCACATGTTGAGGTATCAGGATTAACTAGCTTAATATAAAGGTGCTGTAGTGCACTAGTTGTCCAGCAGAAGGAAGGCCTCTGCTTTGACCTCACATTAAACGTGTTACAGCCTAGAAGACAGAGGGTAGCAGAACTGTGGTTTTCTGGCTAAAAACGCTCACCGACCTGCTTCACTTAGCTCAGTTAGCTCGTAGCTACATCAGCTCAGAGTTTGTTGGGTGTCAATCGTCCACCCTCACAGCCCCACATTTTTAGATTTTCTGGGAGTGACCAGACACATGACCCAGCCAAGATGGCGGTAGTTGGGAACACCAACTGGGCTTCAATTCAGCTCTTCAGAAACTCATGAGTGATGGTGCACAGGGTTTGTTCATTATATATAGATAGAGCTATTATAGCTTAAGAAATCATAAAATGCCTTTTAAAATATATATCTATAATATATATAACAATATATTTTAAACATGATTTAAAAAGAACTATTACTTGTATAATGTTAAAATACATACATAATAATCAGTTTTCTTTTATTGTGTAATTCTTTTCCATAAAGAAATAAAATTGACCCATTCCACGTGTAGATCCACCACTTGTTAAACAGGCTTCACTGTATAATTTCAATATTTTTATTAGCACTTAATATGTTGGGTTTCTGATGAAGGCGTTAATCCTAAAAACTCATTTTTATGGTTGAGGGCCAGACCTGATTTGATGCTAATTCTCAGGGAGACTTGAGTACAGTGTTGGGGCGTCAGCAAGAGTTGGTGTGAGGTGAGCCAAGGTGATCTGGACCTAGAAAGTACACAGTGGCCAAAAGATGGAAGAACTGAGCTTCAGGCACAATGACACAGCTTTATTTAGAAATAACTGAAAGCAAAATGTTACACAGTCTAAATAAAAACTTAGATGAACAAAACCTTTTCATATGAATTTACATAAATGCATGAGCTAATGTTAGCTAACAGACTTTAATAGAAACAGTTGTTTGTATTTATTCAATTAAAAAAACATAATATATTCACATATATTTACTATAGATTTGTCATTGTTGCTAAATTGCGTGTGTCTACATGCGATCTGAATTACTGAGTATTAATATAGTCTAATTTATCTGTAAATGTATTTATGTATTCATGCACATTTGTTTTAGGATTATTAAAGCCACTTGAGGCGAGCCAGCGTGTTTTTGAGCATGTCCTCCAATCAACAATAGGCAACAACATAAAGAAAGAACAAGATGACTGCGCTAGTAAGAACTAACAAAGGTCAAGAAACAAAAGGCAAAATAGCACGTGAACGTATGATAAAACTATTTCACCATCCCCCAAGTAAGATTAACCAAACCGAAAAGAAAACGATGAACTTTATGAACAAAAAAAGCTGCCTGTAATTGCTCACGGATAACCACTTGTACAATATTGAACCAAGAGGATAAAGATTAACAATTAGTAATTTCACGACCACATAGCTGGTCAAAAACCACTGTGTGTGTTCCTCACATATTCATAAACACAATTACTAAACAAACAAAGAGACTGACCTTAGATGTGAAGGTAACTTATTCCAGCTTTAACACCAACAGCATGTTTTCCAGACTCTGGTCATTGACTTTATCTGTGAAAATGCTGATTTGGTGAAAGGAAAATGAATTTTTCGCCTGTTGATTTGAATGCTTCTAATGGATCAGACCCACCAAGAATATTTTTCAACAGCCGCCACTGCTAGGCTCTTCTGTGATTGACATCTGTGTGTAAGCAGATGTCTAACGCTATTGGCTGATGCTGAACGGTGCTCAGTTCAAATAGCACAGAGAGCCTAAGTCTCCTCCCTTTCCGGTCGGCTCATGGATCCCTGGAAGAACGGAAAAAATGAATGCAAGTCAACGGGGCTAAAAACGCTATTTTCTAATCCACTTTGCCTTAGACCCCAGATCGCACATATGTTGTACTGCAATTTAAATGAAAAGTAAAGACGGGTGTTTCGACCACACCTGTCACGTACTTTGAGATTTATCAGCTTGTAAACGTTTGTAATTAGCACGACTACAATGGCATGTTGCATATGTGACGTCACCGCATAATCTCCTCTCTCCTACTTACCTACTTACCACATGGCCAGATTCATGGTGCTTCTTTCCTCCTGAAGGATGGATTTGAGGTTCACTGAATTTACAGCCATTTTCCCTCCGTTTTCTCTGTGTCTGGTTCGATGACGTCACTTTCGTGAAGCGCATTTGTAGTCCTGGACTTATTTTCACACAAAACCTAAAATAACGTTTCCCCCTGTTCAAAAATAAGCATGTTCTTGGTATCAAAATTTGTCTTTAAAATTCACGGACATCATATGTGAAATCCATTGCACAAAACAAGCGAATTAGAAAATAGCGTTTTTAGCCCTTGCATTTATACAGACTTGCATTCATTTTTTCGTTCTTCCGGGGACCCGTGGTCTGGAAGTAGATAGACGTGACATATAATGGGCCATTCCCATCTGCACCTGGTCGGCCCTGCCCGGATAGCTCCAGGCGGCCCCAGCCTGGCCCGGTTGATTCCACACATCCTTGCTTAGGTATGCAAGGAATGCAGTCAGAGACATTGAGTGTGTTTACATGCAGCCAGTAACCCTTTTAAAACCCGAATATTCACAATAACCCGGTTCCGCACGGCCATGTAAACACCGCCAAAAACTCGGATATGCTCATAACCGGGTTTTTAAAAACCCGGTTACTACACCTGGGGTAACCCTTTTCTAACCCGAATGTTTGGTCGTGTAAACGCATATCGGGATATCCCCATCAAAGCGTGTGTTCTGCGCATGCTCTGTTCGCAAGGAATCTTGGTCTTTTGAGTAGCGAGACGTCTTGTATGCGCCAGAACACCGGAAGTAACCAACAAGTTGGGAGCAACATGGCGAGTCGCGGCACAGCACCACACTTTTGGAGTGACGAGGTCGCTATCTCTTCCGAACTGGGAAACATGTTGTTATTTTCACGGATACCGGAACAAGAAGAACCGAAAATGACACATATTGCGTCTTGACGTAGTCCATACGTCCTGACACTACCCCAACGTCCGCATTTAAATCGGGTTATGCAAGTTAGGGGTAACTCTTTCCATTAATGCTTGTAAACGGGTTATTCTGATCAACTCAGAAACCCGAATACCGACCTTAACCCGATCATAACCCGGATATTGGCTGCATGTAAACGTAGTCATTTTCAGCTTCTAGGTAATCAGCACGATAATGAATGACAATAAATTGAGCATGCCTTAAGCCCATGTGGGCTGATTCTACCCACCATTCAGAGGCTTGCTCTAATGGAAGGTGTGAACTTTCTGACTGATAAGCCGGCTCATCAGTCAGCAGTGTTGGCCCTGGTAAGCCTGAAGCAGACCACCTCAGAAAGAGGGCTGAAAGACAGTCTCGTTGCACCCTGAAAAAAGGCAGGCCACCAAGATATGTAAGCAAGCTATGGTATCCGGCCCGGGCCGACCAGGTACAGATGGGAATGGCCTATTAGGCTCTCTGTAGGGCTCTATGGGACTGAGGGCAGGCATAGCAAAAAAACTGATTTAATTTGTCTACAAAATCCCACATAATTTGTGAGAGGGGCAAAACTCTGGATTTGTACTTTAACCCACAGAACGGAGAGCAAATACAACTCAGGAGCTCTGACTGTTGTGATGCAGTTAGAGAGAAATCTAAGTAGAACAAAGACCAAATAAAATGTGGATTATGAGGACGTGTGTTTGGGTGTTTAGCTTCACAGGATCCAGGGACTCTTAATGTGCCGATTCCTACTCATTTGGATAATCCAAAGAATTCCCTGCAGCTTTTTAGTCTTCCTGTTTAAAGTTTCCCTCAGGGTTTAACTCTAATGAAGCTGCAAAAAACTATGTCTGCGATAAAGTTCCAGCAGCAGCATTACCATGGAAACCATGTGATAAATAATGGATTTGATTAACTGCTGTGTTACTAAGACGGTTAGTTTCATTCGTATATGTTTCACATCTCTGTGTTTGTTGATCTTGTGTGTGTGTGTGTGTGTGTGTGTGTGTGTGTGTGTGTGTGTGTGTGTGTGTGTGTGTGTGTGTGTGTGTGTGTGTGTGTGTGTGAGTGTGTGAGTGTGTGAGTGTGTGAGTGTGTGTGAGTGTGCTTGTGCATGTCTAACTCACACTTTTAAAAAGGCCTTTGAAGAACACTGGTCACACCCAGAACCATGTCCCAGGGCACACTCGCTGCAGGAGCAGCCACACAGACTCATTTTAATTAAGTAAATGGGCCACTTAATTATCAAAGGTCACTGCACAGACTCACACCATCTCTGATTAATACTTGAGAGGTGATATATCTGTAGGTGCACATGGGTCCTCACGACTCCCTCTGTCTCCCCCTGCAGGTGAAGTTAAGTCGGTTATGTGAGCAGGACAAGATCCTTAAAGAGCTGGAGGCGAGGATCAGCTCCCTGAAGGACGACAAGGTGAACTCTCCATCAGACAGATCCGTGTATTTCACAGCCTGATGAATTTGCAGGAAGAAATGTTTAGAAGGATGAAGTTGTAGTGGCGCAGCAGGCAAATCATGAATGCTGGCATTTAGTGGCAGAATAACACATTTCATAAAGACGTGGTGATACACACATTCCATCAACACTTGCAGAATGTTCTGGGGAACCAGTGGAGCAGTGGTGTCCAGTCCCGGTCCTTTAGGTCCTACTTGTTTTATATGATTTTATGACCCAACACACCTGTTAGCTGATGGACGTGTTCTGTAGAAACCTGTCAGTGCTCCACTGACGCCAGTCAGGTCAGAGAAACATTTAAAACATTCAGGAGAAAGCGTGATGAAACAGTAGACTCACGCTGCCCTCTGGAGGCAACATGCTGAACAAACTCATTCATAAACCCCGATCTATATATAATGTCTCTGTTTTATCCCCCATTGCATCCGGTTGCTTTAGGACAAGCTGGAGAGAGTTCTGGACATGTCCCACCAGCAGATGGAGCAGTACCAGGAGCAGCCCACTCACGTCCATAAAATCGCCTATCAGCAGAGGCTGCTGCAGGAGGATCTGGTGTCTGTCAGGGCCCAAATGTCTCAACTCTCCACGGTATCTATCTGTGATTCTGTTCAAAGTACTCACCCACCTTCTCATCACACAGATGTAGAAGACTTTATAAAACATGCATGTTAAAATGTCCTGCCTCAGCATCCCAGACATTTGTTAAGAATCTGGAGGTCTACATGTGCCAGGATGGTTTTACTCTGCAAAAAGAATAGTTAGTGCTTCAGAGTAACCATTAAATCAGTGTTGCCCCTAGGCGTCAACGTGATCTGGTTGAATAATGGATTGTGCACCATGATGTTTGTGGTAATTTCTCATCAGGAAATAAGATGCATTATAACACTGAGCTGGGCAGAACACCCACAGCCTTCAGCACCAAGAACAGAAGGGGACTGGGTGTTTAAAGTATTAGTGAAAAAAACAAAAAACATAGTTTGTCCCCCGTGTGCGTGTGTGCGTGCGTGCGTGTGTGTGTGTGTGTGTGTGTGTGTGTGTGTGTGTGTGTGTGCGTGTGCGTGTGTGTGTGTGTGTGTGTGTGTGTGTGTGTGTGTGTGTGTGTGTGTGTTGCTCTGCAGGAAATGGCACATGCCTGGGAGGAGTACAATAGGCTGGAGATGTCAGTGGAGCAGCTGAGGACAGTCCTTCAGGCACACATGAACCACAGCGACACCCCTCAGGTGAGATCTGCCTATTTGACAGAAATGATCTTAAACAAACAAAACACATGACTTCTAACATTTGTTTAAACGTCCTTTTCTGCAGCCAGAAAAGACTGAGATGAAGCGAGAGCTGTGGAGGATTGAGGACGTCATGGCTGGACTCAGTACCAGCAAAGCTAATTACAAGATCACTATTGACTCCATTCAGAACCCAGGTGGGGCTCATGTTTACTCAACACCTCCTTCATTGTTGTCCTGAAGTCTAACACTTTTATCTCTGGTATTTAAAGCTCTAACTTGGTTTTTTTCACCCTTTATGTGAGTGTAAATTCACTTTATTAAACTTGATTTTGCTGGATTCACACACATGTCTAGACAGGAAATTAGTGCCTTCGCTGTCAGAGCCAACAGTGCCTTCCCTCAGCTCAGAGGTCCAGCCTCCTCCTCGCAGCTCTGTTTCCAGCATCCTCTCCCACACCAGCACTGTGCCAAGCTTGGTGAGTGTCACCTCACTGCTGGAGCTCATTCAAATTCTATTCAGTTCAAAGATACTTCATTAATCCCAGAGGGAAATTAGAGTTTCAGTACACACAATTCTGAGATCGGGACATGAATTGGTGACTGCGGTCATTCGCATCCCGAGTCGCGGTACCTTCATAAACAAGCTCTGATGGACCTGTGATGGTCCATCAGAGCTTTTCTGATCCTGAAACCTCCCTGACTCTGCTGCTGAACAGATGGAGGACAATGCTCCACCCAGACCACCTCTGCCACGCCTCTATGACTACGAGGAGATACCACCGGTGGTGCCGCCCCTCCCCAGAGAGGCTTCAGTCATCCGTCACACGTCAGTGCGAGGGCTCAAGCGCCAGTCTGACGGACGGAGGAGGGACAGGGAAGGTGGGCAGTATGTAACCAATGGAGACAGTAAGGTATGCTGTAGTTTTCCTGTCTGGAGAAACCTGGTGTCTGTGCAGGATTAGGCATTAATGTAGAGATTCAGTGTTTGTTTAAACATCAGCTTCCTGTGAATCCTCCAGACTGACCTGAGGTCCTACCTGAGTGAACCAGAACTGCCAGGAAGCAGCCACCAGAACACAGGCATTGATGCTGACTACCAGGATTACCCAAGTAAAGGTTAAGTCCATGTGCTGCAACAGCAAAGTAACTCGGGTTTCTTGCTAATGTAACTCGGGTTTTTTGCTAAAGTAACTCGGGTTTTTGCTAAAGTAACTCAGGTTTTTACTAAAGTAACGCAGGTTTTAGCTAAAGTAACTCAGGTTTTAGCTAAAGTAACTCAGGTTTTTACCAAAGGAACTCAGGTTTTAGCTAAAGTAACTCAGGTTTTAGCTAAAGTAACTCGGGTTTTTGCTAAAGTAACTCGGGTTTTTGCTAAAGTAACTCGGGTTTTTACTAAAGTAACGCAGGTTTTTACTAAAGTAATGCAGGTTTTAGCTAAAGTAACTCAGGTTTTAGCTAAAGTAACTCAGGTTTTTACCAAAGGAACTCAGGTTTTTACCAAAGGAACTCAGGTTTTAGCTAAAGTAACGCAGGTTTTAGCTAAAGTAACTCAGGTTTTAGCTAAAGTAACTCAGGTTTTTACCAAAGGAACTCAGGTTTTAGCTAAAGTAACGCAGGTTTTAGCTAAAGTAACTCAGGTTTTAGCTAAAGTAACTCGGGTTTTAGCTAAAGTAACTCAGGTTTTTACCAAAGGAACTCAGGTTTTAGCTGAAGTAACTCAGGTTTTTGCTAAAGTAACTCAGGTTTAGTAACTCAGGTTTTAGCTAAAGTAACTCAGGTCTTTATTAAAGTAACTCAGGTTTTTGCTAAAGTAACTCAGGTTTTAGCTAAAGTAACTCAGGTTTTAGCTAATGTAACTCAGGTTTTTACTAAAGTAACTCAGGTTTTAGCTAAAGTAACTCAGGTTTTAGCTAAAGTAACTCAGGTTTTCGCTAAAGTAACTCAGGTTTTTACTAAAGTAACTCAGGTTTTTACCAAAGTAACTCAGGTTTTAGCTAAAGTAACTCAGGTTTTAGCTAAAGTAACTCAGGTTTTTGCTAAAGTAACTCAGGTTTAGTAACTCAGGTTTAAGCTAAAGTAACTCAGGTGTTTACTAAAATAACGCAGGTTTTAGCTAAAGTAACTCAGGTTTTAGCTAAAGTAACTCATGGTTTTGCTAAAGTAACTCAGGGTTTTGCTAAAGTAGCTCAGGTTTAGTAACTCAGGTTTAAGCTAAAGTAACTCAGGTTTTTGCTAAAGTAACTCAGGTTTTTACTAAAGTAACTCAGGTTTTTACCAAAGTAACTCAGGTTTTAGCTAAAGTAACTCAGGTTTTAGCTAAAGTAACTCAGGTTTTAGCTAAAGTAACTCAGGTTTTTACTAAAGTAACTCAGGTTTTTACTAAAGTAACTCAGGTTTTAGCTAAAGTAACTCAGGTTTTAGCTAAAGTAACTCAGGGTTTTGCGAAAGTAACTCAGGCTTAGTAACTCAGGTTTTAGTAACTTGGGTTTTTACTAAAGTAACTCAGTGTTTTGCTAAAGTAACAGGTTTAGTAACTCAGGTTTTAGCAACTCAGGTTTTTACTAAAGTAACTCAGGTTTTTGCTAAAGTAACTCAGGTTTTAGCTAAAGTAACTCAGATTTTTTCTAAATTAAATGAGGTATTTGGTAAAGCTTCTAATTTGTAAGCCAAATTGGCTCAAGTTTTAGCTAAGTTAATTTCAGAATCTTGCAGAAATTTATTTTTTTTCTCTTGCAAACGTGTTTGTTTGACTTTGAGTTGTTTTAGTTTAAGCCTACTAAAATCACCACCTTCACTAAACTCTAATGGTTCCTGTCATAATCAACTATGTCAATCAGGCACTGGACCTCTGCTGAAACAGTCCAACACCATCTCGTCCTTCGTCACCCTAAGGAGAGGTCCTGGCAGCTCTGCAGCAAAGGTGAGAGAGAACTACAGAGTTATCAGCTGGAAAATTCTAGATAAAACTACTGTTATCTAATTCCTCATCGTCGTCGTCTTCCTCCGCTTATCCGGGTCCGGGTCGCGGGGGCAGCATCCCAACTAGGGAGCTCCAGACCGTCCTCTCCTTGGCCTTCTCTACCAGCTCCTCCGGCAGGACCCCAAGGCGTTCCTGGACCAGATTGGAGATGTAACCTCTCCAACATGTCCTGGGTTGACCCGGGGGACCTCCTGCCGGCAGGACATGCCCGAAACACCTCCCCAGGGAGGCGTCCAGGAGGCATCCTGACCAGATGCCCAAACCACCTCAACTGGCTCCTCTCGATGTGGAGGAGCAGCAAATCTACTCAGAGCCCCTCCCGGATGACCGAGCTTCTCACCCTATCTCCAAGGGAGAGCCCAGCCACTCTTTGGAGAAAACTCATTTCGGCCGCTTGTATCCGCGATCTCGTTCTTTCGGTCATTATCCAAAGCTCATGACCATAGGTGAGGATTGGGACGTAGATCGACCGGTAAATCGAGAGCCTGGCTTTCTGGCTCAGCTCCCTCTTCACCACGACAGATCGGCTCAGCGTCCGCATCACTGCAGACGCCGAACCAATCCGCCTGTCGATCTCCCGATGCCTCCTACCCTCACTCGTGAACAAGACCCCGAGATACTTAAACTCCTCCACTTGAGGTAGGACCTCTCCCCTGACCCGGAGTTGGCAAGCCACCCTTTTCCGGTCGAGAACCATGGTCTCAGATTTGGAGGTGCTGATCCTCATCTCAGCCGCTTCACACTCAGCCACGAACCTACCCAGCAAGAGCTGAAGGTCAGAGCTGGATGAAGCTAGGAGGACCACATCATCCACAAAAAGCAGAGACGAGGTTCTCCTGCCACCAAACTCGACACACTCCACACCACGGCTGCGCCCTAGAAATACTGTCCATAAAGGTTATAAACAGAACCGGTGACAAAGGGCAGCCCTGGCGGAGTCCAACCCTCACCGAGAACAGATCTGACTTACTACCGGCTATGCAGACCAAACTCACGCTCCTCTGGTAAAGGGACTGAATGGCCCTTAACAGAAAGCCACCCACCCCATACTCCTGGAGCGTCCCCCACAGGGTGCCCCTGGGGACACGGTCATAATCCTTCTCCAAATCCACAAAACACATGTGGATTGGTTGGGCAAACTCCCGTGCCCCCTCCATCACCCTTGCAAGAGTATAGAGCTGGTCCACAGTTCCACGGCCAGGACGAAAACCACATTGCTCCTCCTCAATCTGAGATTCAACTATCGATCGGACCCTCCTCTCCAGTACCTTGGAGTAGACCTTTCCAGGGAGGCTGAGGAGTGTGATCCCCCTATAGTTGGAACACACCCTCAGGTCACCCTTCTTAAAGATGGGGACCACCACTCCGGTCTGCCTCTCCACAGGAACTGCCCCCGATGACCACACAATGTTACAGAGACGTGTCAATTCCTGTGCATTCACCCCCAAAATTCAAAAAACTGATTTTTGAATTAACGAGATAATTCAGAGGCAGAGCTTCTTTATTTTATTGTTAGAGGTGAATGCAATACGCTTCCATACTTTCCAACTACTTCTGTGTTAATTCCTTTAGTCTTAGTGTATTGTCTCATATACAGGTGCTGGCCAGTAAATTAGAATATCATCAAAAGGTTGAAAATATTTCAGTAATTCCATTCAAAACGTGAAACTTGTACATTATATTCATGCAATGCACACAGACCAATGTATTTCCAATGTTCATTACATTTAAATTTGATATTCATAAGTGACAACTAATGAAAACTCCAAATTTGGTATCTCAAAAAATTAGAATATTCTGAAAAGGCTGAATATAGAAGACACCTGCTGCCACTCTAATCAGCTGATTTACTCAAAACACCTGCAAAGGCCTTTAAAAGGTCCCTCAGTCTTGTTTTGAAGGCACCACAATCATGGGAAAGACTTCTGACTTAACAGCTGTCCAAAAGACAATCATTGACACCTTGCACAAGGAGGGCAAGACACAAAAGGTGATTGCTAAAGAAGCTGGCCGTTCGCAGAGCTCTGTGTCCAAGCACATTAACAGACAGGCGAAGGGACGGAAAAAATGTGGTAGAAAAAAGTGTACAAGCTCTAGGGATAACCGCACCCTGCAGAGAATTGTGACGACAAACCCATTCAAAAATGTGGGGGAGATCCACAAAGAGTGGACTGCAGCTGGAGTCAGCGCTTCAAGAACCACCACGAGGAGACTCATGAAAGACATGGGATTCAGGTGTCGCATTCCGTGTGTCAAGCCACTCTTGAACAAGAAACAGCGCAAGAAGCGTCTCGCCTGGGCCAAGGACAAAAAGGACTGGACTGATGCTGAGTGGTCCAAAGTTATGTTTTCTGATGAAAGCAAGTTCTGCATTTCCTTTGGAAATCAAGGACCCAGAGTCTGGAGGAAGAGCGGAGAAGCACAGAATCCACGTTGCATGAGGTCCAGTGTAAAGTTTCCACCGTCAGTGATGGTGTGGGGTGCCATGTCATCTGCCGGTGTTGGCCCACTCTGTTTCCTGAGGTCCAGGGTCAATGCAGCCGTCTACCAGGAAGTTTTAGAGCACTTCATGCTTCCTGCTGCTGACCAACTTTATGGGGATGCAGACTTCACCTTTCAACAGGACTTGGCACCTGCACACAGTGCCAAAACCACCAGCACCTGGTTCAAGGACCATGGTATCCCTGTCCTTGATTGGCCAGCAAACTTGCCTGACCTTAACCCCATAGAAAATCTATGGGGTATTGTGAAGCGGAGGATGCAATACGCTAGACCCAACAATGCAGAGGAGCTGAAGACGACTATCAGAGCAACCTGGGCTCTCATAACACCTGAGCAGTGCCACAGACTGATCGAGTCCATGCCACGCCGCATTACTGCAGTTATTGAGGCAAAAGGAGCCCCGACTAAGTATTGAGTGCTATACATGCACATTCTTTTCATGTTCATTCTTTTCAGTTGGCCAACATTAGAGAAACAAACATTTTTTCATTGGCCTTTGGAATATTCTAATTTTCTGAGATACCAGATTTGATGTTTTCATTGGTTGTCACCTATAAATATCAAAATTAAACGTAATAAACATCGGAAATACATTGGTCTGTGTGCATTGCATGAATATAATGTACAAGTTTCACGTTTTGAATGGAATTACTGAAATATTTTCAACCTTTTGATGATATTCTATTTTACTGGCCAGCACCTGTAATTACATTACTGATTTAAAAACAGATTCAGCATCTTTTGCTGACAAAAGTCAGTTTTGTGCCTCAGTCTAATTTTCTAAATCGTGGTCAAGAGCTCTGCAAACCAAACAGCTTCTCAGCTCTAAGCTGGAGTTGCTGGCTTACATCTAAATGAGGGCTCATGTGCATTTAGACCTGCTAATGTTCATGTTTACTGCTGTGGCAAAAGTCTTCTGACTCTCAAAAAGCTGTCTGCATTGTTTGCAACAAAAGTTAAATGTTTCTCACATCCTGGGAGCTGATAATATTTGTGTCAGGAGGAGAAACAGGAAGCGGAGCAATCTGCTGTATTACTGCCTTCAAAATGTAAAAATCATCTCTGATGTGATGCTGAGGAGGAGCAGAAAGCTGCTGCTGCACATGCTTAGTGAATCTGGGCCTCGGTCTTTAGTCATCATACGGTATTAATGTTCTTTAAGGGCACTTGTTGTAGTGTTCCATGTTGAGACCTTTCACATCTTTGTCTACGCAGGAGAGACCCAAGAGTGCCTTTGAGCGTCTTTCATCACCTACTGAGGTCCCGAGCAGCCAGCCCCGAGGCCGGATGACCGCAGAGGAGCAACTGGAGCGGATGAAGCGCCACCAGAAGGCGCTGGTTCGTGAACGCAAGAGGAACCTCAGCCAGGGCGAGCGCTCTAGCTCGGGCCTGTCCACCTCCTCCCCCAGGCTGCCCTCCAGCCCATCCGACCCTTCCTCCTCCGTACGTTACCCCTCACTCCAGCGCAGCAACAGCAGACACAGGGAGCACCACCACCAGTGCTGCTACACCACGCTTCAGCCCCCAGCCACATAATAATCCAGAGATAATCCTAACTCAATAGTTCTCACTGTCTCCTGTAACCAGTGGTTCTGATGGTTGCTGCTGGCACTAGCGTGCTAAAAGACAGGTCTGACGAAAGCATCCCAGAGGACTGGGGAAAACTCGGCTAGGTTCAGTGGCTCCTTGGTTTATTTCTGTTGAGGCTTCTGGAGTTCCTGATGATTATATCACGACTGCCCCCCGTTGTGGGACCTCACTGACACAATCTGAATGTAAACCCAGAAAGAAGATAAAGAATGGTTAGACATCACTTCTTGCTTCTAATCAACAGGAAGTAGAGAGAAGAACCTGTCTATGTACATCTACATACTGTATGTACACTTTAATTTATTACCGGAAGGATATTTTCAGTACAGTATAGTTCTATTTTGTATAGATTTGGGATAGAGATCCTGTAAAAGAGTGAGATGACTTTAGGATGAGTGAGTTTTCAGGTTGACCACGTGAAGAAAGGGGCAAACCCAGCAGCACAAATCATGATCACACCTCCCCCCTGCTTTCTTCTTCAAATCAAATCCAAGTGCCTTCTTTTGTCTTTTTGCCTTTATCCCAAATTTAGCTCCTCAATCTGAATTTTTCTCAATCATCGTTTGTTAAATGCATGAGTCTTCACTTTAGAGTCAGGTATGAGTGACGTGTGCAGGAGTCGGCTTTAATGTGGACTCACTGACATTTTAACCACACTAAAACTAGCTTAGGGCTAGCTGCGCCCTTTGTTTTCAGTGAGATATGCTAGCCATGCTAACATACATCAGACTGGTGTAATTAACACTTGTTGCTGTGAGTTTACCTACAGTCTGACAATGTTCCTCCATCACAGTGAGCAGTAGTTTGTCACGTCCTTGTTTCCATGTTTACACCAAACTGACTCAAGCAGCCTTTATGTTTATTCTTCAGAAAGACATCGACGCGTTTAAAGGTTAGACAAGAAGCCGTACTCACATCAGGGTACATCTAAGTGGCCTATACTGTGCTGCTTTTTTATGCATCAAAAATGTACAGCTGCAATGAACTAGGCTGAAATGCAATAAGACGAGAGTAAACAGGGAGTGGACAGCTCTGTCATCAGAGAGCTGAGTAAGGTCATGTGGATGCAATACGAAGCCAAAACCAACCGGTATTCACTTTAAACAGTAAAGACAAACTATTAAAAGGATATATAATATAGAAGAACTCCATGAAATAAATGTTTGCAGTATTTTACAAGCTGAAGATGTTTAAGTTTAGCTCTTTCATGCCACCGCTCTCCCCTCCTTGTTTAGTATTTATCTCCATCTTTTTAGAGTAGGGTACGGTAAATCAGAAACAGCATCAGAAGGTACAGATGTAGTGAACTGCTAATAGCCACCTAATTCTGTGTAACTGAGAAGCAATGAACAACTCTCCCCCTTTTCTTTTCTATCATGTAGAGATTTGCACTTAATAAAGAGTTTCTTGCTTCTGAACCTCCTCCTGCCTCCTGAATCTGGTGGGGGGTTTAATGGATGTTCTGCATGTTTTTTTCTCTCTCTGTTCGTTTCTCTGTGTGAAACCTCGTCTCCCGAGCACAACGAGGCATGAGGTGCAACGTTTCTCAGAGCATGTGAACACGCCGACAGGTCAGACTCTGCAGGGCTGCAGGAATGGGGAGGATGCATGCATGGATTTGATGCTCCTTGGATAATTGCTCACAAGTACCACTCACCACACAGACTCACAAACATGCACCAAAATGGCCTTAGCAACAGGAGTGCGCCTTTCTATGGTCATAGGCAGTGTTCAGCAACAGCTTATGTTTAGGTTGATTTAAATGTATTTAAAATTTTGTCTCTTCACGTCAGATAAGCAATAGTCAGATAATTCATAATTTTATAAAGCCTGTTTATTCTGTAATTACACGATTAATGAACACTTTCTTAAAATATTTCCTTTTAATTATATGGTGATAATAAATGTGGCTTTTTAAACTGAAGGTCTTAGATCCTCCACTAGAGGGCAGACAACTGCAGGGTTCTGAGGAAAGTACTGACCATACAGTACTTATCAGAGTTAAAACATATCTGACTAGTCTTTGCTTAAAAAAAAAAAAAAATATATATATATATATATATATATATATATATATATATATATACACTAAATATACACACACACATTGTCCTTGAGATGTAAAATGAGACAGAAGAAGTCTATCCCTGTGGCTGCAGGGGTAATCTGAACTTCTGCTCCCCTGCAGGTGTTTGACTGGCAAGAGGAGCGACCTGGAGCAGAAGGTCAGAGTGATGAAGGATTCGGTCAAGTCACAGAGAGGGGGAGGACCCAGTCAGACGAGTGGATGATGGTAACGGCCAGACGAGTTAGAGAGCTAGACCTGGAACCTCTGGACTACGACCTGGACATCAGTCGAGAGGTACACCTTCTCACTGTTCTGACTTTTAATCTGTTGACCTCCAGGTCGTCTGGGGGAGAATGAGTCAGAGCTGGTTTAAATGAGACGGTTTGTTCTACACGCAGCTGTCCAAACCTGAAAAGGTTCTCATCCCAGAGCGGTACATAGAGTCTGATCCAGAGGAACCTCTAAGTCCCGAGGAGGTGGAGGAGCGCTCCCGTCGAGCCGAGCGCATCAAGAACCTTCTAGCTAAATCCAGGTACTCAGACAGGACCCTGGGCTCAGTCCGATAGACCCTGAAATGGGCTGTTTATCACTGTGTGTGTGTGTGTGTCCTCCTACAGTGTTCAGATCATGCAGCCGTCAGCACCACCTGATTTCACTGAGCTAGACTCGGCTCTGCAGCAGCAAGAGAGAATCATGAGTGTGTCCCACGCTCTGGCCTCAGAGGCGTCACGCAAGAGCAAACTGGTGGCAGGTCAGTTCAGAACCACGTGGACTTTGTGAGGGGGGGGGGGTCGTTATTGGGGTGCAACAATTTCAAAAGGGTGGCCATGCCCCCCTTCCTATTTAATGTTGGCCAGTGTAGTTTTATAGTTTAATTCAATCTGTAATCAAATTACACGTTCGTGTGTGTGTGTGTGTGTGTGTGTTTCTAATCTGCATCATGTTTTTGATCCGTCCCCAGCTAAAGCTGTTGCCGACCACTGGTCCACAGGATCTCAGGAGGAACTCTGAACGTTGGAAGAATCTGATTCACTCACAGAAAATCACTTTAGTTTTACTGATAAAGACAAAAATATGTTTTAACAGATGTTTTATAAATCCTTGCACCATGTTTTCTCACATTTCATACTGAATAATGAGTGATTACTTATTTTTCTCTAACATGCACTTACCTGCTCTACAGTTTGGTTTGTGTTATTAATATGAAACAAAGTAAGAATGTTTGGAGATATTTATTAATATATTATCCTGTTAACTGAACCGAGATGATTCTGCATTGTTTTTAACACGTTCACATACCACTGCTGTTCATTCACTCTGAATCATTTTCTTAGAAAACAAACTTAAGTTGAAGACACTGAAAATAAACATTAAGAACTAACTGATTTGTTTTCTGTTTAATTGAACTGTTTTGGGGGTTTCTTTAAATTAAATGAACAGTATTTTTTAAAAAGGGGATTTTTATTCTATATATTAAAAAACTATCGTTCATTTAGAGTTTCTGGTGATTTTGGTCATGCCCTTGTGATCAAAGGGGTTTGAGGTTTCAAGAGAAGTGAAGCTAAAACATGACAGAAGAAACCAGAATACCACTTTGATCTTTAGTGGGTGGAAGCTAGATGCATTTTAAAAACGTCCTTTAGAACGGTGGTAATATTACCACAACGCAGGACTTGTGAACGCACATCACTCGCTGGTGCAGCATTTCTACTGAACTTAACTACGGTACAAAGTTAATTTATTTCAATAATTCAGCCTAAAGGTGTGACTAACATGAGATAACAATTAGAAGCAAAGCCAGATATTTCAGGCCTTTGTTATAATTGTGGCTTACAGCTCATGGAAACCTCAGACGACTAGAACATAGTGAAAAGGTTCAGCATTCTAGACTCAAAATGCCACGCTCTAATTAGCAAACGAATCCAGAACACCAGCAAAGGGTCTGTGAGCCTTTAGATGGTCTCTCAGTCCAAGTTGGATTACAGAAAATAAACGGACTTGCATCATAATCAAACATTCCCAGTTTCACCTGTATTTAGTTTCATCTGCAACATTCAGATGGTCAGGTCAGGATTTGGTGTCACCAACATCAGAGCATGGATCCACCCTGGCTTCGGGTTGCTGCTGGTGATGGAACGTTCTGGTCCCTCTGGACCCCTCAGCACCACCTGAGGCTGGTTTATGCCCCACAGCCTACCTGAGCATTGTTGCTGACCATGTCCATCTCTTGGACCCATCTTCTGATGGTTACTTCCAGCAGGATCATGCACCATGTAATAATGGGTCAGGTGTTCAGAGCAGGGCAGACATCCATCCATCCATCCATTTTCATCCGCTTATCCGGAGTCGGGTCATGGGGGCAGTAGCCTAAGGCGAGAGGCCCAGACTTCCCTCTCCCCAGCCACTTGGGCCAGCTCCTCTGGGGGAATCCCAAGGCGTTCCCTGGCCAGGTGAGAGACATAGCCCCTCCACCGTGTCCTGGGTCTTCCTTTAGGTCTCCTCCCGGTTGGACGTGCCCGGAACACCTCACCAGGGAGGCGTCCGGGAGGCATCCTGACCAGATGCCCGAGCCACCTCAACTGGCTCCTCTCGATGTGGAGGAGCAGCGGGTCTACTCCGAGCCCCTCTTGAATGACCGAGCTTCTCACCCTATCTCTAAGGGAGAGCCCAGCCACTCTTTGGAGAAAACTCATTTCGGCCGCTTGTATCTGCGATCTCGTTCTTTCGGTCACTACCCAAAGCTCATGACCATAGGTGAGGGTAGGAACGTAGATCGACCAGTAAATCGAGAGCTTCGCCTTCTGACTCCGCTCTCTCTGAGAGCGCAGGGCAGACATATTAATTATAAATAGGAAGTTTTGGATTCTGATCCCAGATACATTCATAAAGCTGTTTTGTTGTTGAGAGATGAGTTTGTTACTTTCATGATGAATTATTATTAAAAACCATTCTGTATGGTCAGTAACAGAAGTATAGATAACAGCCCTCTGTACTATGGGATTTAGCTTGTTTGAATTAAAGACTGGTTATCAGTAACACCTCAGATAAACACCCCTCATCCTTCTCACATCTGGCCAGAATAGTGAGTCTGCTGGACTGAACGCACAACAACCGCTCAAGAGTTTCATCAGCAACCATCTGAACTCCTTTTTATTGGTTTTGAAATGAAGTTACAAAACTCACGTCTACACACATGCTGGACGGCAGCTAATCCGGTCTCGTGTGGAAAAGCCTCCAGGCAGAATCAGTGACCGTTAAAATGTTCCGCCTGAATAAAAAAACACTACTTCTGCCATTTTAACACTGCTTTACAACACATGATCATGAACAAAAGAAAGGTTGCCACCCAAACACCTCATTCTCCCACAGCAGTATCCACCTGGACAAGTTCTGGAGAATGTCCTGATGTGAGAGTAAAACACTTCCCTCTGCTGTTTCCCGACACCTCGACCTACAAAGGTTTTACAAAAGCCACCTTATGATCGTGTTTGTGCTCCTCGTCTGAGCCGTGCTTTCTATGTTCTGGTGTCTTTTCTGTGGGACTGTGATGGGGGTGTTTGTCCTGAGCTTCTGTGGGACATTCTTCACCTCTGGACTTCTCGGGCTCAGTGACGTCTGTCTGACCGTCCACAGCTGGGACGTTCAAGGACTCTGGCTGTGGTTCGGGCTGTGAAAGAAAAGCAGGAGGATCAGTTTCTCTGCTAGAGCTCTCACCACGAGACTGCTATCCATGTGACACCGCTGAGGCTTCAGCCATCAAATGCTTTAGTCATCAAGTACACATACGTAGAGATTAGAGGTGTAGCAAGACCCATGTTCAGATTCTTCGGTACGGACAGACGCATACAGAGTTCACACAGACTGGTGCTCAGTTGGGCTTCCTGGTTAAATAATGATAACTGCTAACAGATCTGGGCCCTCACTTGTCAGACGTTCGTTGAAACCGTCCTACATTCCCTCGTACGACTGAAATCTAGAATGCGTGTACATCTAAAGGTTGATTTGTGAAACGTGTGGCAGCCTCTCCTACGCAATCATCTGATGATGAATCCCACCTGTGCGTACCCAGGTGCTCGTGTCCGTTCGTCATCATTTACATACAGAAACGCTCTGGTAAATCTCCCAATAACACACATCAGCCATGACATCATACCAGATTCCCGTCGGTCACACGTGTCTTTTATTGGTTTTAACACCAATTATGCAAAAAAAGCCATTTTTCCACTGACAAAATGACTAAACCTGGATAAATAAAATTTGTGGAAGAGAAACACGTTTGGATGACGGAGACATTCGGTGTGGCGCGTCGACATTCTGCCACTAGACGCTGTGCGTACGCACGGTCAGAGATGTTCTTAAAATTAGGAACGTTTCTACACACAAGTACAAAATGATAAATACCACACGATGCATAGAATTGTTCCTACGCACGAATTACACACAGACCTGTGCGTAAGTATGTTTGATGAATGAGGCCCGTCCCTTCAGCAGACCACGTGGACACATGAATATTACCATCACACATCACGAAGGCTGGATGAACCTGAACAAGACCACCAGCTGGACTTATAATATTAATACACAGCATTACTGTACGTTAAAAGGAAAATTCTTAAACTTGTATTTATTTATAACATATTTTTGTATTTTACACATTTTTATGTTGTCTGAATATTTTGTTGGAGAATTTAATGAAAGTAAAGTTTTATTTGAAATGTCATTAAAACCAATTTTCCCCCTTTTGTTCCGAACCGTGATCATAAGAGTGCTGCTACACCCTTATTAGATAAACATGTGCTACACCTGCTGTACCAAGTTATCTCTCTCTCTCTCTCTCTCTCTCTCTTCTGCGAGCACACCTAAAACAACTTATTTATTTGGGCGAGCATTTATTTATTAGAAACCCATGTGTCGTTGAGTATGCCTCAGGCCAAAACATCACGCTGTTGGTTAGTCTCTTAAAGCAGTTGTGTTATTGATAAAGTCTGTGGTGGATTTGAAGAGCTGACCTAAAATAAACCAGAATCTCCTCGTTTGGTCCGACTGGCAACGGCCGTTTTCTTTAATAATCCAGAACTTAGTTTCTGTTCTCGTGTTCAGCCTCATCTACATGACATCACAGGGAACCAGAAGTCCAACTTCTTGTGATTCTTTTAGTAAGAATTTGTAAACATCAGTAAAATGGACTCATTTTCATCACGACACCGACTCTGTGCCTAAAGAAAACTCCACATAAAGCTTTTCATTACATGAAGCCGGAAGTTTCAGGACTCTGGTTTTTATTGATCTCGTAGGCGTGTTAACAGGAAGTACTGAGTTAACCAGAAAAACACGTGTAAAGCTGGTAAAACTGCACCAGTAACGTTTTACTCAAGTGAACTTCATTGTTCATTGTTCCACTCATGGGTGTTTGAGCCCACTTTGGAGGTGCTGAAGCACGCTAAATCAACTCCCAAGACCCTGTAAAATCAGAGAATGAAATGCGCATATTTTTACTGTATGATTTTTAAAGACACTTGTAAAATATTAAAAGCATACAGTGCTTGCTCTTTCCCCCGCCTCAATAGTGGTTTGATCTTGTTCACCTTTCCCAGAGTTGAGCTCCAAGCCTCTGTGTGCCACCCTCCTGAGTTAAGGGAGACCAGACTTCCCGTATACCGTAAATCCTCTAATACAGGCCTGGGCCTGTATTTGACTCAAGCTCATCAAGCTCCAGGCCTTTATTGGAAGGAGGACCAGAATCAGAGGGAGGCCTCAATTTCTATTTGAGCAAAATGAACTAATGGTTTGCTGGAGTTTTTGACAATTAAAATTGCGCCCACATTTTCAAAGTTAAACACATTTCTTTTAACAACGGTAGTTTCCGCTTCAGCCCTCTCCCCCCCCCCCTGCACAGCGGCTGCAAGCTCACTGATGCGCCTGCAGCCTCTCAGAGTTCCTGCTGCTCTAAACATTAAAATAATTATTTCGTTTTCTGTTCCTCACTTCTGATTACCTTCAATGGTGTCTGTTTGTTGCAACCACCAGGTACAAAAACTAACTTGTTTTTATTTGACTATTTTTCTGTCCTGTCTGTTTATTATCTTCCTGCATCTCCTCTCAATCCTAAAGAAAAACTGCTACCTGGGTTCATATATATTCACCTTATGAGTTACCTTTGAACTGCAGTTCTAAAAGATCTACCGACCACAAAAACAGCGGAGTGCGAGCTGCTCAGGTACGTCACCAAGGACAAAACCGGTGATGCGCCCCGATCCACAGCAGTGAATCGCATCAGGCACAAATAAAAGAATAAAAGACAGAAAACATCAACAGGAAATGAGCCGACATGAACGACCGCGTGTTAAATTGGTTTTTGAGGTGGAAACACCTGATTTGATAATGTTACTGTGGCCGTGCTCAGGACGCAGATGTCCGGAGCGCGTCAACAATCAGAGCGTTGCATGCGCAAGCTGGTTAAGGTTAGGATGGGGGTGAGGGGAAGGTTAAATTGCAAGAGGGTAAACGTCACAATTTGGTTAAATGTCCATTTTACGGCGGGTGTCAGTACCGACGCTCTGGCACAGCGCGTTGCCTCCCGATGCACAGGAGCTTGTCACCTGCTGACAGCAGGCTGCTGTCTTTTCCGTGGACTGCATCATTCCGGTCATTATCACGTGACAGCGACTAGTCGATGACAGGCATAAAAAGTCACTATAGAGCAGTGAAGTCGACTAGTGACTAGTTCATACAACCCCTGCTACTGCTCCCCAGAGTGTTCTGCAGCATAATCAGCACGTTCTCTTTGAACTTGATATCAAATTTTCACCTCCTCTTCGTCTCCGCACGGTTAAAGTTACCCTCGCGGTCTATCACTGGCAAATCAAAAGTGAGACGGATGACACAACCGCCCCCCGTACTTGCTTGTTACCACATTCCACCTGGCCACAATAAAAAATCGGCCATTATTCACCTCCGCCGACTCCGACACCGGCCAAAATACGATACCCGGCCATTAATTAAATACATGCTAATATTAGAGGATTTACGGTATTAAAACAATAGCTCTCTGTTTCCTGTTTAAATCTTACTGCTTGTGAGGAGAAAGCAGTGGCTGTCAATCCAGTAAGGGGGTAGGATATAGATATTAGTGGAAAATTAGGTAAATACACATAAATAAATGCAAACATTTTGCTGGTACTTGCCGTGGCAATTCCAACCAAAGTGTCACTCCCTGAGCGTCTTTAATCTGCCCTTATTATAAAACTAGAACAGCATCAGACCTGGACTAGCTCATTTCTTCCTTAAACACCTCAACCAGTATCACCAACTCCCTTCCCCGAGGGCCACTATCTAGCATGTTTTAGTTGTTTCCCTAATCCAACATATGATTCACCTGTTCAGTAGCTCATCTAGCTCTGCAGAGGCCTGCTAATCACCCGCTGATTCAAATCAGGTGTGTTGACAGGAAAACAGCAAAACATGTTGGATACTGGCCCTCGGGGAAGGGAGTTGGGGATCACTCACCCAGAGCCTTTGAACCTGGACTAGATAATTGTAATAGCAGAATCCGTAAAGCATTATTTGTGAAACCTTTTCTTGATTTGTGGAAAAGAATGTTTTGCATTTATTTAACAAATATGGCAATGAAATTGTGTTAAAATGTACAAAAGTGAAACTAATCATGTCTGGACGGGCAGCTCTCTTGGTGCTCAGCACCCCTAAACCTCTGATGGTAGGATCGCCTCTGGTTCCACCTCATCTTGGCCTGAAATGACCTCTCACCTCACTGAAACCCAGACCACAATGTCTCCGGTTCCTTCCAGACAGCTTTCCATCCATGCCCTGCTGATACTGCATCTCCAGCTCTTCATTCATCTTCCTGTCTTCCTGCCCTGCATACGAGACACAAGTCACAACAGGCACACCAAGGCCCCACACATCTATCCACTACAGTAGATGGACCTGTAGTGGCAGATGTGGAACAGGATGCTGGATTAATTGCACTGAGCATAAGGATAATGCATAAGTAGAAAAGTAATTCAGGATAAAATATCTTCATATTCTTTGAACAAATGCTGCATTTTTACAAAAGAAAACAAAGAAACTCACCAGTACGGAAATGGGACGTTGACTTGTGGTCTCCAATGACCAGACGCCCAGTGTGTTCTTTCTGGAGACAGAGAATAAGCATTTATCTCCACTGTAATCTGTGCCTGCCACAAGGTCAAATCTTTTAGATGTAATCTCCTACAAACCTTGCTTGCACCCATCAGTCGTAAAAACTTTTGCTTTCTCTCATTGCTTCCCAGATCAGCTGCTTCCCACTGTGTGGACCCATCCTGCCGAGATGAAACATGTTACCACAAACTATTTATTGTTCACCCGTCAGGAGCCTACAAATAAAAGTATGCATTTTACCTAAAAGCCTGGAAAATACCTTTCATACATATGAAATACACATCATGCATGACTAATCCTACTCTACCACTTGATCAAATCTTTTGTAAAGATGCACAAAATAGCCTTATATTGCATCTTAAACATTCGCCTTTGTACTTTGTTTCCCATTAGTACCAGTGTGCAGCGCCAGACATCAACCTCCTACCAGAACAAAACTAGCAAAGGTTCTGCAATTCAGACCCAAACCCAATCTTCTCAACCTGATTTTATTCTAAAAAACTAACAAAGCGTGGTCCAATTTACACGACAAATATAAGAGTTTGCTTGAAAATGCTTTAAAACTTTTCTCTGAGTCTTCAGCACGTTCAGATTCATGACACCGCTCATCGTTTGTAGCTGCTAACGCGTTGCTAACCACAGTGCGTAAACGATCGCTACGTTTTAATTTAAAATGTTAAAGTTTTCTCACATCTGACGGAGAAGCTGGTCGTTTTGTGCCGTGTTTATCACCCGGAGAGCTCATTTAGTACAAATGCTTTTTTAAACAGCACGAAACAATTTCATATCACCGAGCAGACGCTAGCTTGATTTGTCAACAAACGCGAAGTATCCGGTGTTACGTTGGGTTGTGTCCCTGTGGAAAATTGACAAAAGAGATCTGTTCCCCCCCAGCTAACGTTACATTTACGCTTTTTATGTACTATTTTTTTGTGACGCGTTCTTTACATGTAAATTTCATTCAAAGCTCTCAATTTTAATTTAAAGTAGAGAGATAATTGTGATTCTGCTGTTAGTGTAAAAATAATCTAGTCCAGGTTGGAAGTGTGTTTCAGTTTATGAACAGTTCCAATCCCCAGATGCCAAAAACACGCCAAAGCGCTCTAGTGTTAAAAATTTAAATAAAGATTTCACTAATCACGAACTGTGGACCAACTCTTTCCCCTTGCTGGGGGTGGGTTGGGGGGGGGGGGGGTCCATGGGAGTTTGCCCAGCCAATCCACGTGTATTTTGTGGATTTAAGGCTTATGACCGTGTCCCCAGGAGGTGGATGGTCTTTTGCCAAGGGCCATTGAGCCCCAGTACAGAGAAGTGTGAGTTTGGTCTGCATAGCCGGCGGTAAGTGGGACCTGTTCCCAGTGAGGGTTGGACACCGCCAGGGCTGCCCTTTTTCACTGGTCCTGTTCATAATGTTTATGGACAGGATTTCTAGGTGCAGCCGTGGTGTTGAGGGTGTGGAGTTTGGTGGCAGGAGAATCTCATCTCTGCTTTATGCGGATGATCTGGTCCTCCTAGCTTCCTCAGGCTCTGACCTACAGCTCTTACTGGGGATGTTCGCAGCCGAGTGTGAAGCTGCTGGGATGAGGATCAGCACCTCCAAGTGTGAGACCATGGTTCTCGACCGGAAAAGGGTAGCTTGCCAACTCCGGGTAGGGAGAGAGGTCCTGCCTCAAGTGGAGAAGTTCAAGAATCTCGAGGTTTTGTTCGCGAGTGAGGGAAAGAGGGATCGGGGAGATCCACAGGCAGACCGGTGCAGCATCTGCATCACTGCAGATGTGTTGTGGTGAAGAAGGAGCTGAGCCGGAAAGAAGGACTCTCGATTAACTAGTTGATCTGCCGCCCAGTCCTCACCTATGGTCATGAGCTTTGGTTAACGACCGAAAGAACAAGATCGCAGACACAAGCGACCAAAATGAGTTTTCTCCGCGGGGTGGCTGGACTCAGCCCGTCAACATATAGGCTCAGCCTTAGGGATAGAGTGAGGAGCTCGGACATTCGGGAGAGACTCGGAGAGTCACTGCTCCTCCATATCGAGAGGAGTCAATTGAGGTGGTTTGGGCATCTTGTTGGGATGTCTCCTGGATGTCTCCCCAGGGAGGTGTTTCAGGCATGTCCAGGAGGGCCCCTGGTTGCTCTCTGAAGACCTGGCTCTTCAGAGAGCATCTTGTAAACTGGACCCTCCCTGCATCCGTCCCCCACTCTACTGTCCACTCCTCGTTCACGTCCCTTTATGATTCATTAAGCTGCCTCACTGCTAGGACTGGCTGATTGGTGTTTGTTGTTAAACATAATCTCATTAAAGATCAGACTTTTATTTCAGTTTGTTAGAAGCCATTTACGTTTGTATTGTCCCAAAAAGAATGAAAAGCTCCACCTAATGTGTGTTTGCTAAACAAACAGCTCAAACAAATACAAGAGATTAAAACATGTTTGAAACAGGAAGGAAAAGAACACAATTCAACCATAGAAAGCTGATTTCATTAAATATTATCCTTTTTAATCAGTTTTAATCTAAAATGTTTGCTAGTTATTTTGACTGATTTCATAGCCTCTATTTCATTTAGTTGAACCTCGCTGTCAGAATGTGATATTGTGCATAAACTAGCTCTCAGCTAGCAGAGCATACGTGCAGGATGCATCAGCTAACAGAGTTACTCTGTAGAACAGTGCTGTCTTTCATTCACATGCTGGTCAGGGATGGACTCCTTCTTAGTCATGATTCTCACAATGTCTAATAGTTTTAAAGAGTAGATTCACATTCGAGTCCATCGGTCTGACAGCTGAAGTTTGGATCTAACTGGGTAATAAAACAAGACCATGATCCCAAACACATGAGCAGATCTATGATAGTCAGAATCAAGGTTTGGTGATGGTCCAGCAGAGTCCAGACCTCCCCCTGCCTGAGACCTTCAAACAGCAGAGCAGAAAGTAATGTCTGCAAAAGGTTAATAAGTAGATTAAAACACATTTCCTCCGTAATGAGACTGACTGATGAAGTCAGACAGAAAACAAAAGCTACTGAGACGTGTAGCTGCAGGTTTCTACAAATGATGGAATGGAAGTAATTCTTCACACAGCTTTTCTGTCTGGTTCTTGTTTCAGGCAGGTGCGCAGATAGGGTGGGGGACGGGGGGGATCTGTCCCCTCCAGATTCAGATTGACCCTGATCCGTCCCCCGCACTAAGGCCAAAAAGAAAACAAAATTGGAGGTTAAGCGCTTCAAGCTCCTTTTTCCAATGACATTGAATGCTAGCCTAGTGAACTAGACCAAATTTTTGCTTTGCAAAGTTTGGTCTATTTGGTCTTTGGCACGCTCCATTGGAACCTCCGCAGCTCCTACCAGGACTCTGGCTGGCCAATCACAGCTCTCTAGAGGGGTTTAAAACACATAAAGAGCTGTGATTGGTTCATAATGGTGGGCCAATCATAGTGCTCTATCTGCTTAGTGAACAAATCACAGAGCTTTATCCGCTTTATGGGCCAATCAGGGCACTCTATATGCCTGGTGGGTGGGATGATGCAACAGAGTGAAACAAGAGTATGTCACATTCATTGTCCAGTGGAATGTGGAGATCATTTGAAAGACAACGGTAGAACCCGCCCCACAACCGAGAGACGTCAATGGAGCGTGGCCAGACTAAATAATACATTTATTTAGTCTGGCTTGCCAGGCTAATTGAATGCAGCATGACGTAAACAAACACCGACTCCAAAGACGCCAACGTGGTTGCTGCTAGGATGCAGGATGAAGTGAAAAAGGAAAGCAACGATTACTGCGTATTTAAAACAGACCAACAGTGTAAGTAGGCGGGACCGATCTGTCTGTTTATGCATGTTGGTTCTAGATTCAGTACGTTGTTGTCAGTGTTGGGACTTACTCGTTATAAGCGCCAAAGCCTCATTGCTGACTTTAACAAGTCTCATCTACAAATATGATCCCTCATGAAGTTACTACTTTACACCAGAAGATAGTAGAGATGTGGAACTTTCAGGCTGAGCAAAGTTTGGGAGTTTTTAGGGCTTGAAAAGCACCTCCCGCTGAGAGGCTCCCAGTCAGGGAGAGGAGGAGATGCGTGCAGCATGAAGAACGCAAATATTAGATAAAACGTATAATTGCCAGCAGGTCTGGTCTTTGTTGACTGATCACTTTGTCTGGTCATGACTGACTCTGATTATGAAGCAGAATATTGACTCTGATGAAGAAATTCACTCATCCAGCCGGGAAGATCGACGCTGCTGCAGCATCAGACAGCTGGTGCTGCACGAGAGGTGTGTGGAGTTTACAAGCTCCAAACGTTGGGTTTGATGTTGGTTTAACCTTCTCTGGGACGTGATGGATGTAGAAATGATGGTAAAACACCGCGAACGTGACAGACGTAGCGACAATGTAAAAAAAGGCCATAAAAAAGAGGCAGATACCGATGCATTAGACATGGAAGTCAAGTGTGCCACATAATCATAAAAAAAGTTAAATATAAAATTTAAAAAGAGATTTATATACTTATATATAAATTAAAACTTTCCAAATATAATGAAAATTTATAAATATCGTAAAAATACGAAGGAACATCTGTTGGTCAGGCTGAAAAGTTTGACAACCACTGCTCTAAGTGATAAGTGAATATTGTTTCTTATTATATTTTATGTGCAGTTGTTTAGGGCTTTTATGTTTTCTGTAAAGATTGGTATGCTGAAAATCATTTCATGTTTTGCATAAAGCATGAGGTTTTGGTTAGCAATTGATTGGGAGAATAACAAATGACTGAATTAAATAGTGGGGCGCCTCTGTTAGTGCGCCCCAGGGCAGCTGTGGCTACATCGTAGCTCATCACCATCAGTGTGTGAATGTGTGTGAATGGATGAATGATACACTGTAGTGTAAAGCACTTTGGAGTCCTTACTCTGAGAGGCGCTATACAAGTGCGGATCATTTATCATTTATAGTGTTGATCAGGCAGAGCTTTGTTGAATAATGGCTTCAAACACGTATATAAAAGTGTTAAAAGTTTTTACGTAAACCGTTGGATGAAATTACACAAACTGACAGAGCTCTAGTTAAGGCGCTTGCAATAGTTTGTGTACGTGTGTGTGTACGTGTGTGTGTGTGTTTGGGGGAGGGTACATTGGAACATTGTCCCCCCCAGTTTCAAAATCCTATCTGCACCCCTGGTTTCAGGAATACTGTTGTGTTTGGTACACATGAAGCAGTTTTTACCTGGCATGGATCAGAATCTTTTTTACTATGTCCCGATATGAAAAAATGGATCTGAATTAAAGGACTTAATTTCCCCCCAATTACTGTCATTCATACGATGCAACCATGAGAGCCAGTGACTCCTTGTGCTCGTCCCAAGTCTGGATTATTGCAGAGGGTTGTGTCAGGAAGGGCGTCCGATGTGCGTAATCCAACTCAAACATACAAACCACAAACGGCGAGTCGGTGGAGGCCCGACCGAGGTCGGCTTTTGACTTACAGGGCTGGTGGAAATTGAACAATTGTTGGTCGTTAAAAGGAGAGAAGGCGTGTTCTTATGAGTTCGTTAGGAAGGGTCTTGAAGTAAAAAGAGTTTCAGATAGTTTGGTGAGTCTGACGCTTGAAGTTGAAAGAATAATGATCTATGTTGGTGGTGGTGATATCCCACATGTAGGGTATAAGCTAGAAAGGAAGCAGTGTATGCCTAAAAATGAGAAAGTGTAAATTGGTGTAGACTTTAATGGTAGTGTCGGTGAAGGGAACAGAGGTGATGAGGAAATGATCAACAGGTTTGGTATCCAGGATAGGAACAAAGAGGGACAGATGGTGGTAGACTTTGTGAAAAGGACAGGAATGGCTGTTGTAAATACTTTCTGCCAGAAGA